TCAATTGTCATCATCTCTGCGCTCAACAATGAAAAAGATGTGAAACAACAATGACGTGCTGCGCACTTTATTCCAGATTCATTACATGCACGGGAGAGCGAATTTATCCGCTTCCGGGAGGGGATAGACAAGTGCATTTCTCTCGCCGAAGATCTGGTGATGGCGTCCAAGGGCGTGATGTGCAATGTTGAAGACTGCTCTCAAATGGAGGGATTGGTCGCAAGGCTCAGGACGGCTCTTGAAGACATTCGAACTGACATTTTACAAACTGAATCGGAGCGGAAACGCCGCTGCACTGGGGCGCTCTGGTCGCGGAAGGGGATGGAGCCCCGAGTCGATCCATCTTTGGCTCATCGGAATCCTGAGGGCGGAGTTTGGTGTGCACGGGATCTGTGGGATGGGGCGAACGTTTCAGCTCCGTTGCCGATGTCAGGTGTGGAAACGGGTGCATGGCAGGGGAGCCACGCAGCGCAGATCTACACATAAGAAATTGTTGATTTCACAAGTTATGTGCGTTGCTTTCACTTCGATCAGTTTTAAATAGGCACACCATAGACACGGATAGTTGCTGGAGCAAAGCATTTCTGGTGGCGCTTGTTCGCGTACCGCCGTTTGAACTTGTACATGGGAGTTTTTCATGCAGCTCCTGGTGAGGGATGAAATCAAAACGCAATTCATCAATAAAATACCTGTTCACTTGCCATATCCACGATAAGGGCCAGAACAACATTGCACACTTTGACGACATCTGAAAACACTTGCTCCGTTTCGCCAAGACAAGCGATGGATAATATGCGTTGTCAGGCATTTTCTTGCATGGAATTCTCGTTGCATTTCCATAAGCGTACGTCATTGTTGTTTCACCGAAAGGGCGACGACGGTGGAGGCTGCACTACCAATATAAGAATTTCAAAGATTTCCCAACACGTGAAATGTGTTATGCCAAATTGTGGATACCCTGGGAATGCGGTCCCAAACCGCAAATGGCACATTCGCCCATACTCTCAGCCCATGGTGGTAGTCATGAATGTATTAGTGAATTGCATGCAATGATTTCGAACTGGATCCTACTTGAGCACTTGACTGCGTATAATAAGATACACAAGTTCAGCGCAGCGAGGTACATATCCTTCACTCAGTTTTTCCGGGATACCTTGAAATGCTCTTGATGTTGTGGATGCAGTTAAAGATTGAGCCTGCACAACAACTTATTGAAAAGGTTCTTTGTCTGCAAATGGACATGCCTTTAGTCATTCTCTGCCCCATCATTGTGTACTTTTCAGGCACTAACTTCATTGCTGATGCGCTTGGGCAGGTGCTGTGGTGGAGTCCATTCACCAAATTCTTGGCACCATACGTAAATGCGCACAAATGGGTCCTCTGCAGAGCCTGCTTTGGTGCGAAAGGATATCGCTTGCTTTCAAGCAACAGGCGCAAATGTTGGGTGCGTCGGTTGGATCTCTTGCTGAAGGGCTCGTTCAGGTGCACTGAATCACAAATCTCAGTGACCTCTCGTATCTTGGAAACAAAAAGTAGATGGGCAGCATATCCTGGACATGCATGTCAATGATATCCAATATTTTGGGTATGGAACTTGCATACCCAAGATATGGTCATACCTCATAAGGCCTTCATATACTGCATATGGGGAGGATGGGAGAGTACATGGCCGTGAGATGATTGATTTTCAATCACAAATTGAAAACACAAGTCTGCTCCCAGATTCTCAATAATATGCACAAATCGAAGAAATCCAGAAAAAGAATCTTGTTTCCATAAGTGATCAAATGACCACTTACCTGTGTGATACCGTTCGCGTTTTTCAACAAATGTTCATTGAAGATTTCGAAACATTTCACAGAGATCCTGTCAGTTTGTGAATTGCGAAAAATTTAAGGAAATGTCGGGGAAAATTGATTGTAGTTTGAGACACTTGTAAACCCAGGCTGACTGTGGTTCCCAAATCACATGGACAATCCTTGTGTCTGGCAACATGTTTCGCCGATGGCCAAAGACTTCTAATTTGTAATTACGATAAGGAAAGTTTTGGAATGATTCAGTTACATCTGCCTATGGCAGGAAGTCTATATCACAAATCCTGCGGTGCTTGAATTGTATATGTACCGGCAAATTCGAATTTGCCAATTATTATCTTATCAATATGTAATCAGAGAAGCACTAATGTGCCTCTTTATTGAAATCCAGGCTTGGTACGTACGCCGTAAAACTGATCGCATTAGCGATACATTGCGTAATGATAGTTTATTTTTTACGCTTTTACGGACAACAGGCGTAAAAATACATAAATGCCGCCGCAAAATAGTCCCTTCTCTGTGTTTTTTACGTTTTACACGTAAAAGCGTGAACGAAAAACTAGCCTGCTGGAAGCGAGATTTCTTTACTACTCCTTCTGTCTCAATTTAAATTAAAGAATTTGTTGGGAGGCTGAATTTGTATCAAGTACTCGTTCTTAAAAATGCAACCGCAGCACCATATCTACATGTAGTAGTTGCTGCCCCAAAAAATCAATGGGAACGACCGAGCACACTGCATTCAGCAATTCATTGAACCTGCGCTACTCCGATCCAGAATTTGATCCGTCGCATGGCATCCTCCGCCCGCCAAAAGATAAGTTCCTGGGTCTGGGGTGGCCCAATACGCAAGCGCAGCCCCTCTTTATGGACTTCAGGGCACTGTGAGGGTAGAGCGGCCAACCCCTCTCAGGCTCGAGCGCAACGACCGGCACCCATCGAGATGGACAACCGGCAGCGATGGCGCATGGCTGCCCATCTCGCCATCACGGATTTGCGGAAATCCCCACCACCGGCCACGGATATGCCGTTGCCAACAGGTCTCCTGGTGTCTAAAGACTAGCCGTGGAACTGATTCGTGCTCCGAACGCTCTCCGTTCGTTGCCGATCTCCAATTAATGAAGTGTTTGGCGTAAGGAACACCTACCCACGAAAGGCTTTTCTCGGCTTCTATACAAATCCGAAACGCTCAATGGGCAGTCGAATCCGTGGTCGCGATCGACGATCGAGCGGTATAGAACTCGGTTCTGCGGCCTCTACGCTTTGAGAGGAACGCCTCCGACCTGCATCCACAGCGGCAGCCCCGGATATCCATTCTGCGCTGCGCACCGACTGGCGCAGAGCGACTTGGTCGAAGGGCTGTTTTCGGGGTGGTGGGCCGCCACCGTAAGAAAATTAGGTTTTCCGGGAAAATCCTGTGCATTCAAAGTACAGCCATTTGACCAATATTTATCCCGTTTTGTACAAAAATTTGACAGCATACAATAGATTCTTGGGTAGCTCTCTGGCCAAGTTTTCAAGGGAAAATAGTCAGTGCGTGGTACATATATGGCCTCCCAGACAAAATGTTTCATTTAATTCATTTGAGACGGAGGAAGTACTATTTTTGATAAGTGTTTCTATGAACCGGGATCTATATGAGATTACCTTATTTGAGGCGGGGCTTGCGATGAAGCGTTGGCGACTTCAAGTACTGCACATCTTTGCTTGGAAAAGTCCTTTCTGCATGTTATTTATGCACAAAATCATCAAAACCCATCCAAAGCCGCGAACAAAGTCAAAATGCGATTGAATAGAACTGCACCTTGAGCTGCTGCATCCGTTTTGCAGGTGGCATCCGATGGGCACAGGAGACTCAGATGCATAGAGCAAGAGGCCTCGAGGCTACTGTTCAGCCCTTGCAGATCGCACAGGCGGCTTTCCTTGTACCTGCGCAACTTCGCGTCCGAGCTTGGAGGGCGAGAGTTGGCACCTGAAGAATTCAGGGCGGCATCCAGGACCTTCTTGCAAAGCATTCGAAGCGGGCTTCACAGGTGCAGCTCAAATCCGAGCAGAGGCGGAAACTTCGCAGGAGTGATGTGGGATGAGAGGATGGCGCTGGAGAGGGATGCGGATCATCTCGGGGGTATTAGGGATGAATCCGAAGAGCGCATGTTCAGACAGGTGACTGTGGAGCTGAGAATTTGAAAAGGTCCAACATGGGAATTTCGTCTTGAATATATCTTGGTTCCGTGAATCAGGCTTGCTGTTTACGTTTACGTTTTTGCGTTTGCGTTTTCCCGCGTTAAAACGTAAACTTGCAAAAGGGGCTATTTTTACGGCTGTATTTGCGTTTTCGCGGCTCGTTGTGACACCGAAATAACCTGATAAAGATCGCGCACAGTTATAGCCCCTCCACCTCCGCGAGCACCCGCAACAAAGCGTCGACTTCGCGCTCGGTAAGGGCCACGACGGCGTGGAACAAAAGTTCTTTTGTTGCCCATTACAGCGCGCCTGGCAGCTACTCCCCGTACTCCCGAAGGCTGTGTGTACTGTCCTTATGTACTGTCCTTATACTGTCCTTACGATCTGTGTTTACGGGGTAAATAACAAGCTTGATATGCATCGCAGGCTTTGCTGTCTTGATGCGCTGGATGTGCGTTCGATTTGTTTTGTACAAAAACAAGTTTGTGTGGCTATTGATGCCACTGTTGTCGATGAGGCTGGCTGTGCAATGCTCATGAACGCAGCTTTTGCTCTTTCTGAAAAAGAATTGGTGTTAAATGGCTTCGATTCCCCAATGCATCCAAACTGTGAATGTAAGGAAGGAGGTAGAGTGAAATTTGCACCAATTTGCTATTCAAGTCGGCTCATAACTTTCTTGCCTTTGTTAGGAAACGAAAACCCCTTGCAGCGTCAAATACCTCACAGATGCACATACACTGGTTCCACCATCTGCCACCTCTTGTAATAACAAAAAATCACTGGTTGATCATGGACCACAACATCCTAGCGAGCAAGCAACCAGGGTAGCGTGCACACGCCGCACGTAGCTCAAGATATTGCGTGCCTTACTAAGTTTCCAACTTGCTTCATTTTCGCACGGCTGACGTCGAGGATCCGAAATTCACGAACCCCATCATTCACGTCGCCAGGTGCACTCTTCCACGCCATTGCATATGTCGCATTTCCTTCTAGGTCATCGCTTTGATGGATGCAGAGCGGCCAGACCGCCTCTGCATTGCCTGCGAGCAGCCCCACGAGGCTGTGCTCGACAGTGGCCAGCATTCTCCGGCCGCCGTCGCCGCTGCTGGCACCTCAGAGCGCCCGCCGCACTACCACGAGGCCTTCGTCACAGCCATGAGCCTGGCCCTGTGCTTCTCCATCTTGAGCGCCTGGATTTTCGACGCAGTTTCGGAGACGCTGCTGGATGGAAATTGCTTGCGACTGACGCACATCGCCGTCATGCCTGTGGCGGCGGCTTTCATGGTGTTCTCCTGCCACACCATCTTCAGCAGCATTGCCTGTGGCGTCGGACCCGTTGATCACATGGTGGGCGTCAGAGATTAGAGGTCTCCCAATCATGATTGGGTGTTTCGCCCGGAAGTGTAGCGGCTGTGTACACTTTTATTTCGCGAGACGCCCTCCAGCGGCATCTGAGTTGGTATCTCGCAGATAAAATGATATCCATTGCCTTCTTCACCATATGTCATACTGTCTCGTCCATTTGACATCAAAGTAGACAAAATGCTTTTCAGGATCCCCCTCCAGGGGCGCGGAAACCTGCATGCCTGCCATTTGCCAATCGATCTTCATTGAGAGGCTGGGCATAAGAAGCCTGAGGGGAAGTGATTCACCCAAGAATGCTGCCCCAGTTAGAGATTTCACAGATGTCAAAATTCATGCCCCTCATAGTTGATTCTCCCTTACCAACACTCCATGTTCCAAAACATATCGAGATATCGTATGAAGGGTGACCGGCTCATTTGATTTCCAGGAAGATGCATATTACGGTCTTAACAGAATGCAGCCGTGTATCCCGGTCATACACAGGGCGCGAAGCACCAATGGTCGACGGACATAGTCTCAATAATTGCGTTCGTGATTCATATCGAAAGTGAATTACATTTCATGGGATGAAAGTCCATTCAAGCGCATTTATTTATGCCTGGTGAGGAGTGCTAAAATTGGCGGTTATCGTGCTGTTTACGCAGGAAACAAATTCGAAATTCTACAGCAGCATTCCACCCAATTGTGTGAAACCAATTCTCCCACCAGTCACAATCCAAATTCCCATCTACAAGGAAAGTCTACAGGCCATTGTGAAGCCCACCTTGGAGTCTTTATTGATCGCTGCGAAGGAGTACAGGTAATCACAAGTTCCGATCAACACATACTTTCGAGAATTATGATCATGATATCTTGCAATTCCACTGGAGGCAAATATTTGAAAGTTTCTACAGGCGGACACAACTATCGATGTTTGGGATTTGACAGCAGTGATAGAATTTTAGCTGGCTGAGGAACGAGACGTTGAATGACATACACTGGAAGAAAACACCGTCTTTGCGATGCTAGCTGCCAGGCTGTTCTGAAAGTAGTTGGTGCCATTTCAATGTCCTCAAAGGCATGGAAGCAAATACGATTACATCAATAAATGTCTAATAGCATAGGAGCCGGAATCGCCGAAAAGGGGTATCCTGCTTCTGATACATGTGTTGGCCGCTTTTTCCTGTATGGGCACATGTATCGACATATGGACGCATATATCACATGGGGGGATAAGCAGCACCCTTCTTATGTTTTCCTAACGTGTCAGTTCACCAGGTAGAGTAGCATAAGCGCAGCCGATGTGTTTGCAGATGTGCTGCTGCTGCTGTTGGTCTGCAGAAGGTGATGGTCCGCAAATTGTATCGCAGGTTCTTCGGAGGCAAGTGCAACATCTACGTGAATGATGATGGGCTCATGACGCTCTGCGAGGAAAAGCGCAGAGAAAGAATTGAGTATTACATGTCTGAGGTGGGGAATGCGTGAAAAAGATCCCTCATTTGTGAAGCACCTGAAAAGGCTGTCTGGTGTGCGCGAGTAATTGAAATGTGCCAATTTCCCAGCAACGATTTAAGACTAAGATTCTAAACCATGTGGTAATGTATATCGCCGATCAGACGACTCAGAAGGCAGGCCAACGCGATCGCAATTGCAATAATGACGCCATTCTTATTTCGTTTGTAGAATTGTGCTGCGCACTGATATTCGCCGTCTTGGATAGTTTTCATCGCTGGTGGCACTCAGAACTTGAGCATGTTGCACAGGGCATTGCCTACTGCAGCCGACCACCCAGTTGCAACAAAGGAGGTTATGTGCGTCGCGGGAGGTTCAAGAAAGCCAGCAACTTGAATTTCGCCCTCAACATCAGCCTGCAGGTTGAGGCCATGATGAATCGCCACACCCTGGGTTACGCAGAGGCGTTGCAAATGCTTGTGGAAGAGGGAGGGGGCAGCTTCCTGGCAGCGGGGGATGTTCGAATTGGGGACTTTATTCTGTTGGTGGACAGCGACACTCGCGTGCCCTCCAACTGTATTGCGCCCACTGTGACTGAGCTTGCCCAGGCCCGGCGCGTGGCGTACACACAGCATTTGACGACCCCACTGCGGGTAAGCAGCTGGATTTGTGTCCTCCCCGTGTAACTCAGAGGAATCTCTCAGCACGAATAGGGTTGTCGCGATGGGAATACCATTATGAGCATATGGATAAGGACAATGTTCTCAAGCAGCTGAAACGTTATGCGCCTGTAGCCAACTGCCATCCGTGTTGTCCCTGCATGAACTCGCCTTCCCAGCTTAGGACACTGCTTTGCTGCAGCCCAATGTATATCAAAACAAATGACCACCAACATTAAATTTAACGCCTATCTTCCATGAAAACCTTGCCATATTCGCGGAATTCAATTATAATGGCCAGATATGTGGACACGGTTTGTACTGGTGGTTTTCACCATCCAGAAAATCTTTAACGCACATTTGATTGAAAAGGATACATGATTGGAAAATAGGGCACAAAATCGCGAAACGAAAAGCGCATTCCCGAGAGAAGAAGGGCTCCGAGACACGAATCAGGAAGTTCTGCCAGTTGCCGGTGAGTTGAGCGAAACTCCAATCTAATGTTCCCAATGTTGAAAAACTTCTGCGTAGCTTCAAGCTATTGCCTACCCCCGATTTGAAAACGCCCGGCACTTGCAGTCACCTATCGCAATCCAGCACTCACATTGCCCAACATACATTGGCTACCACCGTCCCCTGAACCGCCCAAGACCCTGCACTACAGCCGCCATTGGGGTGCAGACACCGGTGGCACCAATGCATTTCAAAACTGAATGCACCAATTTAGAATTGGTGCATTGATTTTTACTGTGCATTGGTGCCACCGCCGCCTCTTTTGACAGAATCTGACGAGTTCGCTGTGCACGGCTGTCAGGTGGGGAAGAACTACTGGGAGGACGCGATTTCTCATTTCACGTCCACTATATATAATGTAGCTATTCGGATCGCCACCAGCGGAGGGGACATGGCGCCGCTGGTCGGCCACAACGTCTTCTTGAGTTGGAGCGCCATGAAGGAGTGCGCTTACATTGATGAGGCGGACTTCCAGCAGAAATTTTGGTCAGAGAACCACGTGTCGGAAGACTTCGACATGGCCCTTCGATTCCAGGTGACCCTTCGTTGTTCATTCTTCCATATGCCTGTGGTTTCGTGATTTGGATATGACATGAGTTGAATCCAGGCTTCTGGGATTGCCGATTCTTGCGTTTCTTCTCGCGCCTCTCATGATCTCGCCACGCTCTTGGACGAGAGCACATGAATATATTGAGATCCCATGGAGAGAGCATAACTAGTTCAAGCAATTTTCAAATAAATATTCAAAGCACTGGTGGTTTTTGATGTTTTGTCAGCGAATGACGAGATTGCTCTGTTGCCTGACTGTTTTGCTTGCGTTTGTATTTCGCGCAAGGTGAAAGGGTTCCACGGCCGATACGTCACGTACACCGGTCCCGGCTTCCAAGAGGGCGTCTCTCTCACAGTGCACGACGAGATTGTGCGATTCAAAAAATACTCTTTTGGTGCGTCGGAGCTGCTCTTCAACCCTTTCTCCCAGTGGCGCAAGGGCCCTTTCTCAAGCCAGTACTTGCGCTACCTGGCCTCAGACACCCCCTGGTGGTCCAAAGTCACCGTATCTGCCTATTTGAGCAGCTACCTCGCGATATCCGCATCCTGGTGGCTGTCCCTCGTGCATTACTTCATGTACGCTTGGTCGGACTACTGGAGGGAGGAGGTCGTTACCAGTCTGGACATATCTGTCACCGTCCTCGTCATATTCAGCGGTGTCGCCCTTTTCGGTGTAGCGCTGGTCAGGTGAGGTGCGCCTGGAAACGATGCGCAGTGTCAGGCGCGCGACGGCAACAAAGCAGGGAACACCGAACCAAAGTAATTGATGACCGAGCACACGATTCGCTACCAATGCATTGCGAAAGAGACTCACACTGAAGTTGCGTCGATTAAGGGATAAAGTCATTGTTTGTGCCTTGGCCAAAGTGTGCGTCTCAAGGACGCACAGTTTTGCAATCCCGGCGTCCCGGCATCCCCGCAAAATGTCCTAACATCTCTGCACTGGTGAATGGTGACCACCACGCGTTAAATATGCCGTCATCGCAATGAATCAATGCTGCGAGAGCTCTGGACTACTGAAAGTTTACAAGTCTTTTCGCAGGTATCGCCTCGGTACAACGTCACTGGTGGCCGCCGTCTGGGAGGAGCTTCGCCACGTGCCCATCATGGTGCTCTTCTTCAACGGCATTTCGATGCACCTTTTCTCGTCAATCTTGTCCCACCTGCTGGACATCGACGTTGAGTTCGGCGCCACGCAGAAAGAAATAAAACAGACGAATTTCTTCCAAGAGATGGGCCACACGCTGTACACATACAAATGGCAGTACGCGCTCAACGGCCTGTTTCTGTGCATCGTGATTGGCCTCTACATAGCGCCCAGCCCTTGGGCCATCAGGGCGCCTCACTCCATAATACCGATAGGCACCAGCATCTTCGGGCACATGATGGCCCCGATCCTCCTAAACCCTGTCCTCATGAGGCTGAAGTTCTAGTAGCACCGACAATGAGATGGAAGAAGCCAGTGGACATTTTGTGTGTATTTTCCCCCTGTTTCTCAACACTGTCGTATGCGCGTGGGGCAGGGATTTACGCCCTTGCCTGTAGCCATTGGTCGGTGCACTTGAGGAATGCTGGGAAGCTGGCAGGGCAGCCGGCAGCACGGCGGCCTCCACATTTGGAAGGCCCCAATGCGGTCTGTACCGGAGGTTCGTGAGCAGACAAAAGAACAGTTCACCTCGTTTCTGAGCGCTCTCCAGCGCACCCTCGCTCTCATACATTTTGCCTGTTGTTCCCTCGTGCATTTTGTGTATTGTTGATAAAATCGTGTTGAAGTGTATATCATATGCGAAAATTTCTTTGGCGATATCAGGTTGCATTGCAGTGGAGTTTAATAATCTGAGGAGGTTTGTGGACGGGCGGGATTAAAATGGTATTGCGAGTTTTGGAGATACGTGCGGAAGGCGGTGGCGGCGGTGGTGGCAGTGATGGTGGAGTGCGGGTGGCCACCCAAGTGGGGCGGGGTGGGGTGGGGGAAAGAGGAGCTGTATTGTCCAATTTTGTACAAAGGGCTTGGGCAATTTTGAATGGCTCAACCGGCAGCATCCAGAACAGCATTATTCATTTCAAAGGCAAGGCAACGAGGACTTGACTTGATATCAGGACTTGTGCTGCCACATTGGTATGCCATTGCTAGCACCCTTGGGGGAGATCAATCTCGTGCATTTATTGTCCATTGTCAATATCAGTATTACCTCAGTAGCGCCTAACAGGCAATTGCATTCTAAGATCTGGCTCAGATTCCTCGCAATAGACTTCTGTACACACCGCATAAGATGTGAGTGACGGAAGAGAGTGACAGCACAGCAAACAAGAACGGTCTCTGGTGTGTCCAATACGCCAGCAGAGCCCAAATGGATGAGAAATCACTGCGAGTCATGCCGCTGTTGAAGAACTGACGATTTATGGGAATGGCTGTCAGAACTGGATGGCACAACATGGCGATTAGTGTTCATGTATTGCGCAGCTGTAGAATTTGTACCGCTGATGGCATCAAACCAAGCCCTTTGAGCGCCTTCTATGAACTTTCACATTCTTTGTTGGACTGCCAAGGCACGCCACACGATTGTTCTGATATGATGTGACAACTGTGATGTTTCTGCATGTTTTGTTCACTTACTTGCCTGACAGCTTGTGCAGCAATGATCAGGATTAGTCACCGTGGTGGAAGTGAACATTCCCGCTCGGTCGTTTTGCATTCCGTTCCCTCTTGCGCTCTGCCTGATGGGGTTCTTTTCTGTGTTTGACAAATACAATGACCATTGTTCTAATGAAAGATAATCTCGCCAATTCAGCTTTCGTAGAAGTCCCATGACCGTTCATCTCAGTTGCCCTTAGCTTTGCGACTAATCCTTGGCGGTTTGCAGTACGATGAAGCACAAACATTGTACTTCATTTCATCCTCAATCTTTTTTGGCTATTATGAATCCCGAGGCAAGAAGCCAACAGGGACCTTGGCCTACGTTCACACGCAGTCAGTGGGCCAGTGCCTCCAAATTCACTTGCTGACTGGTTGCCAGCAACTTGGCTGGCTTCCCAAATTTGGGACTCTAGAGTGCCTGGCGCGTGCAAAGCGCCCGCCCACGCCTCCCTAATCACAAGCTCATCAAGTCACTGCACTAATATATCTGCTCTGTAGCACATGCGCACACGTGAAATTTTGCATCCTCCAGCTAGTGCCAAGTGCCGGCGGTGCTCTGGGCAGACAGAGTCGCCGCCGGTACTTCCATTTTCCAGGAATATCATTGATGTGCAGATCGAACGGGGGGCCGACATCGCGTAAGATTGGGAGGACATCTCCAGAACACGCAAGGGAGGGCGAAACATGGCCAGCAGTTACAGGGCCTCGATTTACCTAAGTGACCAGGGGATGGGGTTGAGAGGCAAAGAACCGCGGCTGCAGGTAGGGAAGACCGCTATTTCTAACGCCTGCTTCCCCACTTGCCGCGGTTGTGAAGGCCGTCACTGGTTGCTTGTGCACTGCATTTTCGTTCTTTGTACCCCATGCATGGGAGCATATGCTCATGCTGTTGAGCTTCATTTTCCAAATTCCTCCCGCCTCCCGCATGGGCCCCTGTCTCCGGACACAAGTGTACCGAGTAACAGCGGCAGGGGTTTGGGTCGGCCCCGACCGGCGTCGCCAATCAGGGGCGAGAGGCACCGCTGATCCCCCTCTGATCATCGCAATTGATCCGACCAAAACGGCACCATGGCCATCAGGCCGCACACGGACGGCAGCGCCGGGTATTGTGCCGGTGGCCCCTGCCGTATTCGATGCGACGCCTGTTTGATGCCCCTTGGACCTACGCGACGTCGACGACGCGGAGTTAAGACCACCGCCGCCCCGCAGCGAGACAGCTCCTGCCGCCGCCCAAGTCATCACCGGAGGGACGCAGAGCCGCAGTGAGCGGCGCGCCCCAAGGTACCTGCTCCACCACAGACCCGTTGCCGTGGCGGCAGTCGAAACGACAGCCCGAACAACAGAACGGTCCTCGGCAGGCCGACGGCCTGCGGTCGCTCCAGGATAGGGATTGGAACCCGACAAGCGAAATGATCGTCAGGCCAAGCGCGCATCGCCGCCATGCCGCTCGCGGTCGTGCCCGGCGTGGCGATTCGGATTTTCCGGAGACAGGATGGTTAGTTTGACGTGCTCGCGCCCCATTGACAACCAGGGATTGGTCTGCGAATCCCTGCTTTGTCAGAGCCCGTGGGCTTTCCTTGTGATTGATTGATGTGGCCAGCCGGCCTTGTGCGGCATGAGAATGCCGGCATTTCGAGAGGGTCCAGTGCAGAGCCGCTCTTGCCGTTTCGTGCCCACTGTGACGCGGTGTGCGAGCATCCCGGTGTCGGGCGGTTGCCAGCTTGGTCTGCTCCTTTGAGGCTATCGGGAGACCGCTTTGCGCCCTTATCCGAAGCTGTTTCGAAACGCGTGAGCTTGCATGGGCTTGCCAGCCGAGCTGAGATCGCCGGATGCCAATGCCTCGTGCGTGATGCCTTGATGATGTACTGGGGCTCATTCAGCACGCTTGTGCCGTTGTGCAGGCGCGCCGCCTATTCACTGTGTTTGCGCTCACACTTGTTCTTGGCCTTCTTCCAGGCTGGTTGGCATTAATTGCGCCATCCCTGCAAGAACAAGGCTCTGCGAGGCTTGCAGGCTGGCCCCCAAATTCTTGCCCCAGTGACGGTTGGCTGACTTTTGGAGTGCGATGGCGGCTCCAAACGACAAGGAGCAAGCTGGATCGACAGCCGCTGAGGAGCTGGCTGCTCTCCAGAAGGAGTTGGATGTCATCAAGATTGAACGGGATGCCTTCAGCAACCAGAAGGTTACCGCAGAGAAGCAGGTCGACACACTGAAAAGCGAATTGGCGAAGCTGAAGAAAGGCGACTCGAAAAGGGGGGAAGCCGTGCAGGTGAAGGTGAAGGATCTGGAGGCAAAGATGGCAAAGATGGAGACCGAGACTAAGACTCTGCAAGACAGTGTCGAAGAGCTCCAGGTAGAAAAGAAGTCTTTGGAAACGCAGAAAAGGATGGCAGAGGCCAAGGCAAGGTCTCATGACAACAGTGTAAAGCAGCTGGAAGAGCAAGCGCAGTCATGGAGGAATGACAAAGCAACCATGGAAATGAAGATCAAGAACCTGCAGACTCAGGTGCACAGTGACATGCTGTTGCCGGCTGGATTATTATCATGGTGCTTCCCGTCATGGGGGGCCCTAGTGTGCTGCTCTTCATCGCCAGAAAGTTGTATGGTTCTGATGGTTCCCTGCTGACACAGGTGGAGGACGCGAAAAAGGCACAGACAGCGGCGGACGACGCTCTGAAAGCTGTTGAGAAATCAAAAGCCACACTGTCACAAGAGCTGAACGTGAAGGACAAGACGATTGCAGACTTGGAGAACCAGCTGGAAGTGACGAAGAAGGGTGCTGACGAGCTGTCCACCATTGTTGGGGGTCTCACAAAGAGCAAAGCACAAGTCGAAACTGACCTTGGCCTTGTGACCAAGGAGAGGGATGCCCTGCAGCACGAGCTTGCAGGTGCATTTTCCGGCAAGCAGAATGCAGATGCCCAAGTCACAAAGTTGACAAAGGAGAATGAAGAGCTGGCAGAAGAGCTGGCACTGTCACAGGCAGCGAAAGCAAAGAGTAGGGAAATATTGCCAGTGGAATCTGCCAAGATGTACGACGTGAACATGCTCTACATGGTTGGAGCTGCCAGTGGACTTGGGGCAGCTCTGTTCGTGGCCACCTGCATGGCTTTGATGAGCCCCAGGAAATGACCTCCTTCTGTGTGATTACTTGTTGTCTTGAAGTGATGGCATCCTGCACAGTGCTATGGCCCCTGTCTCCCATTAACTCATTGATTGTTGGATTGACTTGGAGGGAGGAGGCTCCATGGGTATGTGTTCGCTTATCATATGAATGGTATTGTGATGTCTAATTGGCGTGGATTTGTGCACTATTCGGCGCTCTGAAGCTGGACACTCAGTGCATGGATGTTTTCTTTTTTGGGTCTAGTTGCTTGGGCATTTCTCCATCTGTAGCCAGGGGGGCATCCGGGTTGTGCCTATTTGATGGACATATTCTCTGTTGTGAACCCCTTGTGGTTTCCGCTCGGATTGTGCTGATTGGCAGTCGCCACCCCGGAATTGGACGCCAACCCTTGCAAATGAGATTCCTGGGAAGGGTATGGGTTTGGCCTTGTGTAGATGGTTTGAGGACAAGAAGAACTGCATCAGTGACTGCCTTCACTGTCCAACATGTACGGCAGCACCAGGAATCTGGATAGCAACTCCGTCTGATGAAGCCATCTGAAACTGCTTGGCTGTTTGCCCACCGCTCTGCCAAAACACATTTGATCTGAGCCAAACAAGAGCTTGGTGGCAACTCTCAATGTTTGGGTGTACCCCTCTGCATGTCCTTGACCAGCAAGCACGTGCATTGCAGTGGATGAGATCGTCCGTGAAAATGCACATTATCTACGTTGAACTGAACAACTTGCTCGATGGCGACGTTGAGTCCATCCGTATGGACGCAACTTATTTGATTCTTGCCGATGAGCGCTCATCGCCATCAGGTTTAGCAGGCATTTCCCAGTGCGAACTCAGTTCTTGCGGCAATGGTTTGGGGTGCTTGACATTGCGCATTTGGACAAGGCAGGCCGCACATAAGATCACTCTCTCCAGGCAACCTTTGTGCTTGAAAGAAAGTGTTCGTTTGCTCACATTGAGCGTCTGCACCAAAAAACGGCGACTACAAAACGCCGATGTTGTGAATTTCATCAGTGGTGCACACCCAGCGAGATGATCATTCCACACCAGCAAAAAGGCGAAGGTATGAATGTTAATGCGATGTATGAACAAACAGCTGCAGGAAGCAAGTCTGCATGCGGTCCGCTGCGGCCACCAGGATTCCCCATGCAAGTGAAGGGCAACAACGACAGACAGACCGGACAGTTGTTACGAGGCCCGGTTCCAGCATCCCGTGCACGTCAAGTACTCTCCGTCGATCTGCGGCTGCGAGCCCTTCGCGAGGGCTGTGCATCGCAACCAAACGGCCGAGCTACAAACGGATGACCCGACGGTCATTGCAGATGAAATAGTATTACTGGCTGCACGGTGGCTGCTTGCACTAAATCACGTGCACACTATGTCCTAACCTCAGTTTTAGGTTAGTTTTAGTTTTAGGGTAAGTTTCAGGTTTAGGATTAGGATTAGGGCAGGTTTAGTTTCAGGTTTTAGGGTTTAGGTTTTAGGTGAGGTAAGTTTTGGAGGGAGTTGGTGCAAGCAGTCACCGATTTAGTGCAGCCAGTAATTGGATGCCGTGACAGATAACATCCAAGATCAGCTTAGTAATGTTGTACTTGGGAATTCCAAATGTATCACACCATGATACGAGCAGAGGAGCTTCCCCACGAATCGCGAAGCAAAACAAAACACTTTTCCGGCAACAACCGATGTAAGAGCTTGGTAATGTTGCAGAGATAACTTTAAAGTTATCCAAATTTGGGTTCCCAAAGGCAGGATCTTGGTTGTTGTGATCCATTAGGTCCTGGACGCTCCCAAGGCAAGGGGAGGAGGTGGTCCTGCTGACCGGGTGCCCAACTGCAGGCGCGCCCCTTGGGCCCCACCACTCCCACCAGTCCCCAGCGGCGCACACCCCGCGAATCCGTTGCCGAGGGCAGGGACCTGGCAACATGGGGATTGCAGGGTTCAACGCCTGGTTCAGGTCCGCCTACCCGCAGGCGTTCGTCAACCTTAAGGCGGTGGAAACTGACCACCTGTACATTGACATGAACAGCGTGCTCCACGTTGTGTTGAGGAGAGGTATGGCATTGAGCGGAGGGAGTTTGGGACGGGGACGTGGGGGGCGCTGTGCGTTTGCGGAGACGTGCTCGAGGGACAGTCGCGTGCATTCATGGGGAGCTCTCCCATTCGCGTGTTGGCGTTGGAAATTGCGAGCTTGGAAGCGAACGCAGCGGCTCCATGAAGGATTGCTAAGTGGGCGGCAGTTGCTCGGGAGTAGTATTGCTGAGATGTGGACATTGGCAAGCGACGGCAATCCGTCGTCGTCAGGGCCCATTGGGTCCGCTATCCGTGTTTTTCTCGCTTCTGTGAAGTCGCCCATTGTGCAGCGAGGCTGTAACAGTGTTGGAGATGCCAGCGTGGGACTGAAGCTTTGGGAATCGGCCGTCAGCTTGAGACATTTGCAACTCTGTTCATGATTGAACTTGGCAACACGCTGACCTCAACAACTACATGGCATGTGCACTGCAGCCAGACACATGGACCACTTTCATATGTCGCTGTACACCCGACTGGACGGTATTGTCAATGCTGTGAATCCTCGCAAGAGCGTCGTGTTTGCCCTCGACGGGCCTGCACCACTTGCAAAGCTGATGACTCAGAGGTCAAGAAGGAAGGTAACACATTTGGGTGCCGATAGGCGTCACACATCATGCGCACAGTTATTTTGCAGATGGCAGGAAGACTGTTTTACCAGTAAAGCCTTATGAACTGCCCAGAAAGTGCTCTTGCTTGGCACTATGCCCTGCCACACACTGCCGATTCCCCCCTGCTGTCTATTTACCGCAACGCCACACGACACTGCATAGGAGGGCAACATGGGACAGTGATCCAAGTGACAGGGACTGCATGGATGAAGGTAGTGGTATGCCAGGTTCTTCCTCATCCCTTGGGTTGTGCCCTTGGTGCATTGGCATCCTGGACTTGTTCTTGTCTGGGGTCCCTGAATCTATTCACATTCTATGCACATTCTTGTCATATGCATTTGTGAATTGTCAACGACGAACTGCTAATCTGTGGTAGATCATCCTGTTCATGTGCTTATTTCTTTCCATTGTTTCATGTGCTTGTAGTTGAATCGACATCTGTGCATTGCAAGCTCCCCAGTAGTGGTGATCGCTGCATTCGTTTCCTCGACAGCTTTTCTCCATGGCTTCCCTTGCCAGCTCTGCACATTCTGTCACCTGTGCACCTGAAAGGCTTCTTCCATTGTCCAGAAAGTCATCCTCACTGAGGCAATGGAGAAGGGGAAAGTTGTGCCTTTCCTTGCCCTCACCCCTGGCACACCCTTCATGGCAGAGGTCAATGACTCCCTGGCTTTCTACATCTGCCAAAGGCTGTTGAGCAAAAAGTATTCACACCTGCATTATGAACTTTCAGGCGCCACTGTTCAGGTATTTGGGACCACATATCGCTGTGTGTCTCCTGTGGTTTGCGCATCCAGGAGCAGAAGCTGACTGCAATGGCAAACACTATGTGTTGCAGCATGGTCCTTGATGTGCATTGTGCCCTTCCTTGCCACCATCAGCAGTTTTTGTTTCCGTAGGCTGCACATATGCAGTACCATGTAATTGACCACATGCCAGCTCATAACTGCAATTTAATCTCAGATAGAAGATGTACTTTCTGAATGAGTATATTCTGGAGTGATTTTGCTGATGGAGCCAGGACCAGCAGCGACTAAAAGGCACAAGGGCAGTGTGTTGCTACAGTTGGCAAATTTAGTCCAAAACGAAATGTAATGTACAAGTGCTCTAACCCACAATGAGTGCAGCCTTTGTGGAATCCAACATAGTTTTGCCGAGAAAAGTTTATTGTACACCAGTAAGCTGCCCATGAGCAATGGTGCGATGGCTGTATATCCCTCTGTCCCTGGGGAGCTGTTCAGCAGGTCAACCATCGGCGAAATGGATTAATGTATCACTGCGTGGTGCAACAGGGGGAAGGGGAAGTGAAGATTTTGTCCCGCTTGCATCGACCAGCAGAGCATGTGGCGCAGAATGATTCTCATGGTAGGCTGGGCGTTGGCTTCAGAAATTGTATGAATGTGCATTGTGCACCTATGCAGTTGTCAACCATTGTGCCTTGACCTTTGCTTTGTTACTGCAGGCAACTCTAGCAGCCTATCATGTGCGAAATAGGTAATGGTTTTCGAAGGCACAAAGCAGCTGTCACTGGCTGGACAAACCCAACCAACAGTTTTGTGCTTGAGCACAGTGAGTTGCAAATTCTATGTGTTTGGTATCAGCAACAGTGTTTGCTGCGAGCACAGGGTACAGGTGATCGCATGCCATATGCTTGTTGCCTGGCTTCGTCCCAATTGCATGTCTGTGTCATCATAATACCTTCTGCATGGGACCATCCACAACATTTTATTGCAGTTTTGTTGTCCTTTCCTTGCACATTGGCAACAGTGTGCTGTGACAACACTGCTGCATTGCTTCAGTATTTATGTTTCAGAATTAGAGTTGATGTATGTAATTCAGAGGGAGCAGACCCCAGTAGAGCAAGAACCCACATACCCACAGCTATAGATGCTCCATACTTATACATGCAGCAGTGCCCACAAGGCAATCTTTGCCAAGGCAGTCGTGTGTGTTTGCATGGAAGCTGCAAGGCTTCTTGTCTTGTTGTGGCCCTGGAGCTATCTGTGTGGCCCTGGAGCTATCTGTGTATTCTGTTCACCCACATTCTGATCATTTCACCGCATTTGCAGCTGGATGACTACATGCATTATTTAGTATGTAGCGGTGTATATGCCTTGAGTTTGTGGCTTGTTCACAGACGCAGCATCTGAGTGTCGCAGCTGCAGTGTACTGTAGTTCAGTTTTTTTAGGCTGATGCCAGTACGCTGTGTATTGTAGCTGTCATCGGCAGTGATGCTGACCTCATCCTCATGGCTCTGCTGGCCGACGCCCCAAACTTGCACATCTGTGGCGAGGTTCTACACTCAAGCCCACCACCACCACCAAACAAAATAAAAGTCCTTTCAGTCAATGCACTGCACAAGTTGTGGCAGGGTATTGGCCCCCCTGCAGAGCAGGACCCCCAGGTGAGTCAGACGTCTCCTTAATGGCTGGCAGTGGTGCACTTCAGAAGCAGACGCCTTGAGTCAGTTCCTTGCTGGCTGTGGTTGTTGCCAAGAGATAAAAACTGTCCGTTTGTGTCAGTCCAAGGTGACCGGGGACATTTTGATGGTGCTTGAGTTGCTTCACAGCTGCTGGCTGCTGTGTGCAGAAAAAGCTGCAGCGGCTTCAAGGGATGCAACAAGACCTTGCACTGACCACCATACTGGGAAAAGGAAACGACTACCTCCCTTCAGTGCAAGGGATATCGGCAAGGCCACTTGGGGGTATGCAATTGGACTTGATGTACATGTCTTTCCTGGTATGTGACATTGTTGTTGCTGCACTTCTGGAGTTGTCAGATCGCAATGGCGTGACAGTGCACAGCAATGCAATACGAGAGGTTTGTGTGCTTGTAGGGCTTCAACCACTGCCTAAGGTGTTCTGTTGATAGGTTTTCGAGTAGATGATGCAGCATAAAACCAGCTGCTCCGTTGTTCCTTGCAGATTGTGTGAGGTATGTCAATTTGGTTAAGCGTTCAGGCAAGCACTTCAGTTGACTGTGGACTTATGAAATGTCTGACTGCTTTGGAACTTCTGCCATAACAGCTGTTTGGACTGTGGTGCAAAGGTGGTGGCCTGTGGAAGACGTATTTAGAAATGAGGCAGTGTCCGAAGTACCAAAAACGGGCATTGGCCAATCGAGGGGCCGATGGTTATGCAGTTATTGATGCTGAATTTTTGGCTGACCTTTTGGAAAAGATGCCAACTCAGCCTCAAGTGTTGGAGGTGACTGCCAATCTCAAGGCAGCAGATCCTGAGCAGTATCTGCAGGTGGGAACAGGTTGCATCGTGCCTGAGCTTGATTCTTTTGGTGCTGTCATCATCACCAAAGTGGATGCTGGGGTCTGTTGAATAAGAAAAGTGTTTGCCATTTTGCAGGGTTTGAGCTGGAATTTGGACATGTACCAAAAGGGTGTGTGCCCTGATTATGGCTTTTGCTATGATGGGCTTGGGCCAACAGCCACTGAGCTTTGCAGGGTGCTGAGGAATTTCAACCTGGATTCGTCAGCCCATAAGAAGAGGTGACAGATTCTGATCGGCAGCTATGTATCATCAGTTTTGTTCCATGCTGGTGCGTGATTCTTTCGGTTGTATTGAAGAATGTCTGTCTCTGATCTCCTGTGCTGGAGAGAGTACCATGGAGACAGATTGCAGTTGCAATAGCTATGCTCTTTGACCAGCATCTTGAAACGCAGCATTTATGTCTGTGTCCAGGCTGCAGTCAGAAGCTGCGAGCCCTGGCCGACCTAAAACACAGCAAAGTCAAGGAAAATATGTCTCAGCCACTTCACCCATGAAGCCCAATGTGTGCGCTATGGCTTTGTTGCCCAAAATGGGGCAGAGTGTAGCACCAGTGGCCCTCCAGCACCTGATGAACGAAGACTCTTCCGTTCAGGACATGTACTGTGAATGCAAGGTGTGACCATGGTATCTTGTTGTAACATCTGCTTTGCCATCGCTGAAATACCCAGCACACCAGGTACCCGTTTGCATAGTGGCAGAAACTGCTATCTCCAACCTGTTCTTTGTCTTTCTGGTGCCGTAGGTGTGCCATCGGTTATCGGCTCAGTCATCATTGCAGCAACTACAATTTGGCCAGTTGGTTCGTCAAAAGCTGGTTTTGGCAGAGAAGTTGTTGTGGCTGTCAAAGAACAATAAGAGCGACGAAACCCTTGAGAACAAAGCTGCGCACCTGAATGAAAAGCTTGAAGGCCTTAGGGACAAGATCAGGTCAGAAAGGGAAAACGGCAGATGCAATATTCGGGCACTTTTGTCTTGAGATCCCCAAGAAATATTGTGAACAGCTTGCATTGCAGCTCCATGTTGCTCACTTAGTCAGTGTTTTCTTTATTTGCGTGTTCTCTGTTTGAAACATTAAATTGAGCAGGAACAAGATTTGTGGTTAGCTTGGCGAATTTGGTCCTCAACAGTTCTTGTATGGACTGCCCGAGCGGAAATGAGACAATCAACTGGCTGCTGCCCTGCTGGTGCTACCATTCTGTGTACTTTGTTATCAAGATTTTTTGTTGTGTCTGCAGCATGTGGTGCTTGAGATGCAAAGGATGAGGGCTGCTTGCAGCAGCTGTGAGCCATGACAACCACTTTATCCTTGTCATTCGCCTTCCAGGACCTGATGCATGTTGCCACTGGTTTTCTCAGATTGCAGATGCTAAAGAGATGAATTAAGGGCATTTGGACGGTCCATGCCTCTACACATGCGCACCAACTCACTTGCCGTCGTCCAACTCGATTTGTCACATTGCGCCAGGAAGCTCGGAATCTTGTAACCCCACATGCTGAAGATTCTCGATTTCTGTTGATGATGCAGGGCCAATGCAGCTGACCGGCAGCAACATTTGGAGACAGCCCACCCGTATGCAGCTTTTGCGATTCACAGGATCGAGAAAGCTGTTGCTGATGTCCCTTTGTCTCAATATCCCGAGAACGAAAGACAGCTTGCAGAATTTGGAAGTGAATATGTTTACCGACGGGTGCAAGGGGCGCAGCCACTGCGCGGATCCCGTCCCCAGAGTACGTCAGGAAATGGCGGACTAACGTCCGAACAGTCAGAGGTACTGATAACGCCTCCTCAGCCACCCGGAAAGAAGTTGAGAGCTCTGCGAGGTCCACTTCCAATTTTGAGGTGTGTTGCGCATGCACAAAAGCACAAGTGGCACGTCCATTGGAGTGCCAGCACCTTGTAGCGCTATTTCGAATGCTAGTTCAAATGCTGCTCATGGACCTATCATAGACCTACTTGTCCTGTACCAGCCTTCAGGAAAGATGCTTGGGTTTATGCCAACAAAGACACTGTGTTGTGCACGTGAGTGTGCTGTTTGCACATCAGCGATTCAAGATGCTCTGCACACACAGTGCAGCGCTCCAGCCCTTGCTGTTTTGTTCCAATACCTTGCTGTTTCGAAAAGAACGATGCCAGTTGTCACTGTGAGTTCTGCATTTCTGGTGGCGCTTCGATGACGTTTGGATCCCAAAATTGTGACATCATATTGTGTGTGGTGCCCAGACAGCGGTCTGTTTGCTCCTGCAGGTTGCAGCGCCCACCAGTGCGGGCCCACCATGTCTTTGCACGAGTTGCAAGGTTTGCCACCTTGTTGAAAGGGAAATTATGACGGCTTGGGGGCGTGCCTTGGGGATGCGGCACCGATTGTTGCCTTCGCATGCAGCACAAATGGGAGCCTGCATGGGGCCGGGCACCATGCTGTTGCTTGTGCATGTCGTGGTATTTGTATTGGTGTAAGCAGCGATGCGGTTGCCAAGCTAATCGCTTAGAACTTTTGTGGCATCACTGGGCTGCACTGGCATTGCAACACTGCACCTCAGCGAGGCTCGTTGCAATGATGTGCTCATCAATTATGGCTATCTTCAGCGGCGGCGTTTGCGAGAGCACAAACGTGAAGGCAAATCGAAACATCTGTGCTGGGGCAATGCCATCCACATGTGTTCATGCATTGTCCCTGTAGGGCACCCATCTGCGCAATTGCTGGTGATTCTTTGGAACATTTTCGCTTGGTACCATACATAACGCAAGTAGTGCAGCCAGGCAGACTGTGGGATTGAGCTGGATTCAATCCAACAGGACTCACTTGTTTGACGGCTTTCTCCACTGTCGATCTCCCAATGCGAGGTATAGAATCGCTTCAACTCCACTGCAGCTGTGGAGCAACGAACGCCAGAGTCGGTAAATGAACTGGAAGGAACATCACAAAACACTTCCAGGACCACTGGGCCTGACACGCACAAGCACGTGTTGTGCCGATGGAGATCCCTCTTTTGAAGTACATTTTCGTGGATCTGACTGTGGATGGACAAACTGCTCTCATTTTGCAAGAACTGATCGTTCAGCACAGCATGTACATATTGATGTACTTGGGGTCCAGTCGTGCCAGCATGACAACGTTGATTGTTTTTTGCGTCCAAACGCCGAACTGTGGCGCTCAAAACGCTTTCAATACCGCAAAGGCTAAACAGACTATCTAAACCTCAGTCGGCACCTCGATGATTGGCACGCTGAAAAGGACTTGGGACGAACTTTGGCACAAGTCCCACCAGCTTCTGGAACGCACGACATCGTGGTCAGCATGGTGATCAAAAGAGAAACGCCGATGATCCCAATATACTGGGCCACGGTGCGCCGTTTCCAATCATGTCTTCTATGGCAGCTTTCGAGTTACGCCACATCCACAGAAGCACAGCGATGGCACCTGGCAGCTTGTCAATAAAACCCGCTGGAATCGAATGGGCAGCATCTACCCCGCGAACTGTTGCACGGGCGTTTGCGAATGATACAAATCGTCAGACGAGTGGGTGTGAGCGAGGAAGAAAAATGCTCGTGTTTTGCGCTGCTGTCAGCAAGAAAAGTTGTGCTAAAACTTGGGAGCTGGACAAAGAATATGTAAGGACCAGCTTCGCTTTTGAGCTGCTTTGTAAGGCTGCATGTGGGCGCTGTCGGAACGGACAAGTGTGATGTCCACGCTTCCTGGGAGCATCCAGAATCATTAGTGATGACTCATCACTCAAATGGCTGACGTTGTCTTTGCTGCTGAGTCATATTGGCATCAACATGAGGGCTGACTTTTTGGCAGCGCTGGCGGCCCACCTTCTGTCCTTAACAGGCCCCAACAACGCCGGCGGTTCCAATTGCAACCATGAAGCTGAAACAGCTCGAGGCCGCCCTGCAGGTGGGGGTGGGAACAAGGGGACTCGCGCCCAACAGCCCACTTCCAATGGCCTGTCCTCGACAATTGTTGTGTCCTCGCGCGCGCAGGGCGTCGCCACATTTTTGAATCCCAACGTGGAGCTGGAACAGTACTCCACGGGCCCAAGTATTGCGGCGCGGATGCTCTACACTGTGTGCGCACTCAGCCACGTTGTCTGACGGTCGAGCGCCACCGAGTTGGGAGAGTCCCCGGGCGCTGGCGCTGGCACAATGATTGTTAGAGAAAATGAATGTATTGTCGTGCAATGTGCACTGCCATCTGGAAAATGTACGAGAGTGACTGAGGCGATTTTGACCACGCAAAGTTTAGAGGACAAACAATGAGGCAAAGTGGGAGCAGAGAATGAATACAGATTCATGTGTACCAAATGCAAAGCTCTTTTGCGTTGACATTTTGTCAATTTTTGAGGGCTAGCTTTGTGGTTGCAATCCATCAAGATTGACTACCCTTTGTGGGTGCAGATGAAATGTGCGAACTGTCCTGCAGCAGCTTAAACTATGCCTGATGCACCATTCAGATTGACAACAGCTACGATGACCTAGATGGGCGAGTTGTAGTGGACTTGGGTTGTGGAACGGTAGGCTGTGTGACAGTGTCGCTGGCACACTGTCTATAGAGCTGACCAAATTCTCAAACATAGCTTTTTTTTCAACTGAATCCTGTCCTTTTGATGACAAATTTGTTGTACACTGAGACCAGCTCCCTCCCAGGGAAGTTTGTGGTTTCATTACCCCTAAATCTTTTGCTCACCCCTAAATCTTCACAAGGCGTATTGTGCACGTCAGCACACCAGTTCCCAACGAAGTTGTCCCCAGTGCATTAAGGCCATACCAGAAACATGAAGTGGTAAAGCTTGAGTGCCACAAGAGAAGTAGGTGGTTGTACATTGTTGCAACCTACTGCATTGAGCCCTGATCTTTCCTAAACGTTGCAGTGCAAGATGCCTGCTTCTGGAAAACCTCTGCAGCGGTAACCCTGCGCTTGCGAATTGCTTGACAGCTAGGCTGACAGGGTGCCTTAACTGTCTTCATTTATGATTCCAATCAGTGTTCTGTGGGCTACTGGGCATAACAGCCATAACAGGGGGGAGGGGGTGTGGGGTGGGGTGGGGTAGGGAGGGGCAATCGCTGCAGTGTAATGACTGTGTGCTGTCAGGAGTAGCTGAATGCTGTCACAATTCCATTGCATGCATTGTGGCAAGAACCTTGCTTGTCAATGTCCTTGGAATTCGAACGTATTGACAAGTCTATGTGATTTCCATCAGCCTTTTCCCATACCAGCACCTTGGGCAGTGTTGCGCAAGTTCCGCCAAATACTGTCACAAGGTGGAACAAGACCAAAGTAGAATGCAACCAAGATGCAAACTTTTCCCATTCTGCTGCCATTTGACCTTTAGGGATGACAGCCACAAGTTTGTGGCAAAGAAGAAGCTGGTAGTCAATTTGAATTGTAGAAAACTAATTGATAAGTACACAATGTTAAGCTTTGTACTCTTGGAGTCGCAAAGCGGATGATGGTTCATGGTTTGGACAAGAATCACTATTCATTTGCCCCCTTGTGCAGGGAATGCTGGCTATTAGTGCGGCGCTCATGGGAGCAGATGAAATCCTGGCTGTGGACATTGACCCAAATGCAATTGAACAGGCCCAAGAAAATAGAGATGACTTTGAAGACAGTCTACCGGTATGTGCCCTTTTCGATTGAACGGCATGCCCACAATTGGTCTGTCTTGGGTGGTGGTCGTTTGGTTAGCCTCAGCCGTGACTGTCATCTATGTAGGGCTGCATCACACCAAGCAGATGGAGATTTGAAGTTTACCTTGACAAAATTGACCGTTAGCTTGTCACACAGATTGTGTATTGGAGTTTGTAAGCTGAATCCATGGCTCGTATGTGGCGATAAATAATAGTGGGTGAGCAAGCCTTCCTCATGTGCCAGAACTGCTCTTTGTGCCAACATCGCTGCTCAAGCCTACAACCTATTTTTGTGCTAACGGCAAGCCAGATTTGCACACAGCAGCCAGACATAGCGGCAGTTGTGCATCACTTCCTCTCATGACACTCTCATGGGATTTCACTTTCATTTGTTGGAAAATTGCTTCCACTTCACCCGTTTAGCCCTCAAGATATGTAAAAGCCTATACTAAACTCAACATCGCAAGCAGGCCAGAGAGAGTTCACGCACATGACTGAAAAATGCGTGCTGTTGGGCAAAATTGACTGAAAATGCATGATGCTGAAGGAATAACAGGACTGATGCAGAGTGATGTTGTTCCAGATAGATTTCATTCAACATGACATCTGCTCTGCACCTGATTGCTGCCCAGTCACTTGGGCAGACGTCGTTGTCACGAACCCGCCCTTTGGAACGCGCAGGAAAGGAGCAGACGTGGCTTTTCTGCAAACAGCTTTTTCAATTGCAGAGACTGCAGTGTACTCGCTGCACAAACGGTCAACAAGACAGCATCTGGAAAAGGTTGCACACAGGTGAATTTGAGCACCTAATCATCAATGTGGTTCATGCATTTCCTGCTGGGGTTAAACACACCTTAGGGGATGCCCCCATCAGTGCTGTGCCTGTTGATGTTGGCCATGATCATCCACTGGTTATGCACACCCCTAGCTCTCACTTTATCTGTGTCTGAATTATTAATCATTTCTTGCACAACGGCCAATGTCCCAGGCACAGCAACATGCTTCTTGACTAGACTCTTTTGTTTGTTCGCTGTGTACAATGTGAACTTAAGAGTGGTACAGGTGGCAAAGAGTATTAGCTTCTGACATTGAATGTGGCAAGCCACAGGGATCCAAGGGTTTCAAGCAGCAACGTCATTGCTGAACTGCGCTACAACCTCCCTGCTCTGTACAAATTCCACAGGTGAAGTATGGCATCGCACAGCTGATGGGCTTGGGCTTGCACACTGCCAGCTTGGCAACAACAGTGTTTGATAGCGATGCAGTGGGGCAACACACACAGACTGTGATGGGTGCATATGGCATACAACAATGGACTCAGCTGTTGCATTACTGCTTGCAATTGTAGGAAGGCATCGAAGGACATAGAGGTGGACCTTTGGCGGTTCGAAATGGCAACATCATGATCATTGCCATGACATCGACAAGGCAAACATGTCTACTTTGCCTAGGAGCACCATACCTGCTGAAACAAGCAGGGGGCCACTGCCAAGACATTAGCGGTTGTTGCCAGCGGTGGGAGCTTTTTGCACATGGCCTCACATACGCGATTGTCTGCAATAACGTCGTTGTTGGACTGGGCCAGATTGTGTGGCAAAATATAGTTTACAAAAATGTGCTGCAAGATGTCGCCAGTGCTCAGAGGCTTGGTGCAGGCTACAAGGCTTGTTCCTCACTCCTTGCATCTATAAAATGCCTACAGAAATGGCTGCCTTCTTCCAACTGTGGCAAGCACCTCTTGTGCCACATGGACATGTGGGAGTTTGGCATCGTCTTCAGTGGCACAAGTGCAGTTCGAAACAATTCCGTGCATAGCTGAACAGATTCTCTGCCCATTCGTGTGTTGGCAACCAGATCCCCATTTGTCAATGGGACAACCAAGAGTGCCAGTTTAGAGCAAGGTGCCTTTGGTATGCTGAGGAGACACGACAATGCAGTGCAGCCATTGCATAAATGAGGCAAACATGGTCCAACATGTCTCCAGATGTGGCAAGTGTAAGTGCAGCTGTTTGTAGAGTTCAAATGACAAAGGTGAATTTGACATTGGGTTGTAGGCAGCCTGCTGTTTGTGAGCTGGAAAGGCAATCAGAATCGATTCGTACGGAAAAAGCCCAACTAAAATCCCTGAAACTGGCACCCATCTGCTTGGATTTACAGTGACTTTTTGCTAAATCTAAGGAACAAAGCAAATTATCTCAGTTTTGCTTTGGACTAAGACAATGCAGATCCATGCTCCTGCCCTCAATGCTGAACACGACTGCATGTGTATACTAGGTATTCTAGTGAGGGTGTTGTGGGTATCCGCAGCGCCACCCTTGGGACCTTATCTACGGTCATTGACATGCGTCAAGACTTGCAGGGTCCATATTCGCCTGAATCCAAGGGTGAGTCACAACATCATCCAATGGTAGCCGCTTATCTGGGTCTGGAGTTAACAACTGAAAAGCCACACACACACACACACAAACAGCACATTAGTTGCAAAGATCGCAGTTGGGCAAGGTTGGTACAAACATGTAGTGAAGTGCTGGAGAAGATAGCCACATTCTGTGTTATGAAAGTACTTGTTGTGCATTTGTCTGGCGGCAGGCTGTTGTGCCAGCTTACCTGACAACTGATTCAGAATTGTATCAGATGATGATGCAGCACTGATCTCTGCTGCTTCAACGTTGGATATGACAACAAATTGACACTAAAAGGGTGAGAAATGACGACCGAAGAAAGTTGAACGTCCAGTTTCAGCTGACGTTTCTTATCAGTTCCCAATCGCGCCCATACCATTGTCTGCGGCAGAAAAGTCAAACTCTTCTGCAGCTCTGTCTGCCCCAGCGCACCTTTCGGATGAGGTCCTTGGCTTCTTCACTGATGGCAGGTTGTTTGGGCCACCTGAGGTCCGCCTCCCTGATTCGCCGGTAGGTGTGCTGGTGATTGGGTGACTCAAAAGGAGGCTTGCCGAACAGGAATTCATACATAAGGATGCCTAAGCTCCAGACATCGATGGAACTGTCATAAGGCTTGCCCCTCACCATCTCTGGTGACAGGTAATCTAGTGTGCCACACAGGGTCTTGCGCCGGCTCTTGGGCGCATGAACAGACCACCCGAAGTCTGCAAGCTTCAGGCGGCCATCCAGCCCCACCAAAAGGTTCTCCGGCTTAATGTCCCTATGGATGACGTGCTTGGCTTTGAGGTATTGCAGTGCACGTGCCAGAGAGGCTACGTACCTGTGTGAAATGGACCCAAATCAACCACGGCACAGCCAGCAAGGTGGGCAACCCAGAGCATACAGTGCCAGCACATCATCTACCAGTGTTTGTCCTGTGGCAGGTGAGCAATGTTGACCAAGCAGGTAACCTTTGCCACTGGTGGACAGCTATAAGTTCATGCTTTGGTGCAATGCAGACAAGCCTGCAGTCCATCGAATCCAGACAACTGACAGGGTGATGATGCTCCGAATTCGTGGATGGGGTCAAGTCCAGCAGAAGGGTTATGTTCTCGTGTGGAACTCGCACGTAGAACTATTGTGCTTGCGTTGAGGTACACATTTGCAGAAGTTCTGAAATGTCTGGTGAAATGCAACATCCATGTGGCCAGGTGACCTGTCTGGCAAACTCTGCCATGCTGATGTGCTGCCCTGCTGGCTGGCCAGGAAATATATATGGCCCACAAGCATGGTGCAGATCTGCAGGCTGCAGCATGCCACACGGAGAATACATCAACATTTGATGGCTTGTGCACATACGTGGCAGATATGCTCTCAGAGAAAGTCTTCTGTAGCTGCAACTCCTGGAACAGCTCCCCCTTTGCGTATTCAAGCACAAGGTAAACACGTTGCTGCAAGGAACAAAGAGCACACCAGTGATCAAATCTCGTTTTCAAGGCCATCGCATGCCCATAGGAGAATACAACAGTTGTGATTTTGAGGGAGTGAGGACCGCGACATCAGGGTGCACATTCAGGCATGTGCTGTTCGCTGTGCTTCCCATTCGCACCTGGTCGTAAAAGTAGCCATACATGCGAAGAATGTTGGGGTGGTTGAGGTGCGACTGGATCTCCACCTCTCGACGCATCTGCTGCCTGACCTTTTCACCCTCGATCTGAGATTTGAAAATGACCTGCAAACCAAGTTTTCCAATGGTTTTGTAACAATTGAGGCACGCATTCCCTGGCTGAAACTGCGAGAGTCGTGAAAAGTCAACTCTGGGGTCAATTCGCTGTAAGCTCAAAACACAGCGGAGCCCCGCAGCGCCTTCGCAACGACGTTTCTTTGTGAACTGTACCAGACATTCGCCTCGTCCACCAAGCCAAATCCAAAACCTAAAAGCAAAATCTGGCGCCGATGGCGCCCCACGCGGCGGTTGATCCCCCTCTGGCCATCCGAAACCTTGGGGCCCGCCAGCGGCAGCGCCCGCACCTTCAGCGCCACCAGCGTGCCGCTCTTCTTCTCGCTCGCCAGGTACACGTTCCCAAACTTGCCGTGTCCCAGCGGCCTGCTGATCTCAAAGTCGCTGAGTTTCCACCGGCCCCCGCAGGCGCCCTCGGAAGGCGCTTCGCCCCTGGAGGGCGCCGCGACCTCGACGCCGGCCGCGTTCGGTCCCGGGGCCGGGGGCGCCGGCGCGTGAGGACGCTTCCGCCCGTCGGGCTTCGCGCCTGCCCACAAAGCGCGCGAACAGTCTCAGGTGAACTGATATCTGCGGTGGTGGGCTTGCATCCCGTTGAATGGCGCCCCGATTGGGGGGCAAGCGAAACCGCAACGGACGGGCGCCGCAACGGCGCCATTGTGGCCTCCTGTCTCTCCGACGACAGAATCTCATCCCACAGGACAGAGTTCACGGCGCCAGCCCAATCGAGGCCTCTGCGTATTGAGTCACTATCGGGAATGCTACCCCCTTCCCCCCCTGCGAGCCAATTTCCTCCCAACGCCCATCACCGCACCCTCTGGCTCCTTCCTCTTGCGCGTGGCCGCCGGCGCCTGGCGGCCCTTCCCGCCTCCGCTCCTGGCATTCGCGTCGTGCAGCGGCGGCCTGACGGTCGGCGGATCGCGGCCGGAGTGGCGCCCCCTGGCGCCAGCCTTCTTGCCGTCCGCGAGGGCCTTGTCGCGGATTGCGGCGGGCGGGCGAGAGGGCCGGCTTCGACGCTGGGGCCCGGAGGTCGATGACATCGGCGAATTGCCGAGAAAGGCGTTGGAGGAGGAGGAGGGAGGGGCGCGACGGAGTCCCCGCTCTGGGGCCTTGTTGAGGGACAGGGCGGGGATGGCATGGGCCTGGGGGCCAGTTTCTGGCAACGGGGGTTTTGAATACGGCATTACATTGTGACCTGTGTTGAAGGCCAGTGGCCAGGCGCCGAGTTTCTACAGAGGCTGGGGAGGCTGAATGGACTCCCGCTGTACAGCAGGGACGTGTGTGTTTCCTTTCCAGTGAATGGCAAAGTTCGGGAACCTCACCTCCCAGATCGGCCATCAACGTTCTATTGGCCAAACGCCGCCCTGTAAATTCGAAGGGCATTGTTGCAGTGGTAAAAACGGCGTCTTTTTCTTTGCCGTATCCCAGTCTTTCTCGACAGAACTAGATTCTGGTCATTTGACCAGTTTCCTGTCAACATTGTGTGTGGTCATGACCAATTACCAACCACTTTCTTGAAATTGATAGTCGCTGGCTTGGGCTGATTGCTGCCGCAAGTGATGACAAACCCCCCAGAACTGGAATTGGAAGAACACTGTGGAGGATGAATGCCTACAATTTTGTACGGTAGGTCCTAAAACAATTTGAGCAGGCTGCAGGCTCGTTGTGGATTTGCTCCCAACAGCCCCTTGTCCGTAGAAGAGTGTCGTATCAAAATGCACGTTGTTTAGTTAATTGGGCATAAGACATGTCCAGCATACCGGCGCACCGCCTCTGGAACCGTACCCCACAATAAAGGGAGGCGGAGAGGGGAGATGGTACAGCAGGTTCGCCCCATTTCAAGTCCTCGATAATTCAAAAAGGGTCCACAAGATTTGAATTTTTCCTATATACCTTCCTTTTGACGATACACTTCCTATCCGAGGCACTTAGTTCATTGCTACCGGACATTAAGGCATGCACACTCAAACCCACGGCCCCAACAAGCACACTACCCGATTCATTCCAACGTCACAATACTCAAAGTAGCTTCCCATGTGGGTCAACGGACAGCTATTGGCCTCATGAAAATATTAGCAATTTGCTCAAGAAGCCTGTTCGCTTCCACCTCCACACAAAAATTAGTGACTAATCTCATCAAAAACAGCAGCGACCATTTTGGAACTGCTTAGCTCACTGATAGTGAGTGCCACGCAGCTCAACAACATTTCCAAAACTCCCCAGACTACAGCCTGGGGCATCCCATCCTTAAGAATCAACCTTGTCACTGGAGCTCACTGCGTACATTCAGTGCGTTGGCACTGAATGCCGTTTTCGTTCTACGCATCATACCACTTGGCCAATCCCACAGACTGCAAGGCGTAGGTCGTGCCCCACTATCAAACGCCGCTGACATTTGCGCACCGTGGCGTAGCAACTGTGCTTAGGATGGGCGTGCTTGAATCCACCATGGCAGTAGAGATCGGCCAGAAAAATTGGATGGTAAAAAGGGATTGCTGTGCTAGCGCAGGCATTGGAATTCATCGGTTGGATGCCAGATAGCAACATGGCCTCTATGACTACAGTTGCAGTGGTTCCGTTGTGAGTTCCGGAAAGCTTCGACACATTTGACACGAAAACCCAAAAGCGCAGAACACCATTGAATCAAGCATCGTTAACGCAACACAGGCAACTCAAAAATCGTTGCCCGCTCAAGACACCGTCTGTGGAATAATGAACAAGGATTTTGCAAACCATTGGATTGTGGTTTTTATGTCCGTCATCGCCTTCCATTTGCAAGCGTCGCCAAAAACCTTAGGGCTTGGTCAACCAACGTCCACGACAAAGGGAATCCATGTAAACACCACCTGAAGCACCACTACCCACTCGCGTGTTAGTACAAGTGCACGTGTGTGGAAGCACCACAATGTACTTATAGGCGAGGTATTGTCCCTTCGCAATATCGGCCACGTTGCCACATATAAGAAAACGCCAACCGACAGAAGGACAACAGGGGCCCAAAAGCACGGCGGTGTGTCAAACACAATGTGCTGCTTCACAAAGATGAACACGGCACATGCAGACGTGTTTTGATGTGCCATTGGCGCGGAACCAACATTCAACGAGGCTCACCAAGCTAATGCCTTGCCTCAAATGCTGCAATTCTTTCTTCCCCACACCCTCACCTTCAAGTTCTCTGGACAAGGATGCCAGACAACCGAAGGAGGGCAGATTTGGTGCAGCAGGGGTCGAAGCTTCCCCAACGCCGGTCATGTGCTCATGTACAGGGCCTGCTCCGCCCGAGAGACACATTGCGCCCAGTCAGCAGGCCATTCGCTCGTCGCGCCGTGGTCCCCTTCACCTCGCGCGCCCCCTTTTTCCGTTCAGGAACGGAGCACCTGCGCTGGCTCCGGAGCGAAGAGCGCGGCAGAAGCCGATATTGGCGCTAGGGTCAACCAGGTGGAGAGCAGCCCGTTGGCGAGGGCCAGTCGGGCCGTTCACAATCGGGGACCGGCCCTCTTGAGTGACCACGGGGAGGGGAAGGGATGAAGCCGAAATGGGCTGCCTGGCTGCGCGGAGCGGGCGCGTTTGCGTGCATGACCGTCCTCTGGGGTCAGCTGGAAGGGGCGCGAGCGAACACGGAGGAATTTTTGGAAAAAGGTGAGGCCACAGCTGGGGTGGTTTTGCTCTGGGTCGATTGCCCGGAAGGCGGAACGCCGTTGGCAGGAAGCCGAGGCTGGGAAAACACCGAAGACAAGGGATGGGGAGAGCGGGCGGCGCGCAGGGACGCATCACGTGGTGTTGGGTCCTTAGATGGTCCACACCGGCAGGCCTTGCCATCGTGCCAAAGCCGCGGCACGGGGCACCACTTGGTGGCACGCTGGGAGGAACGGATGGCCCTCGATTGCGCATCGAGGGTTGCTTCTTGCCCTTTGTTTCCTTGGTCGCCACCTGGAACTGTGCCCCTCTGTTTCTTGGGGATTGTGGCTGGACAAGCATTCGGCTCAATTCGCTCAACAGGCGAGTCGTTGAGTGTTGTACTGATGGTGATGGGAACGGGCAGGAGTAGCGTCAACGCTTGCAACATATATTCTTCGTTGGGTTTTTGCATCCGTATGGTGCAGCACACCTGCAGCGGATCGTTCCAAGACCTGAAGCAGGCAACTCGTGTGGTGCTCATCACCCTCGGTGCCACATGCTCCAGTTTTGGCAAGCTCTCAGCTGAAAATCCCACAATGGACTGGGCCGGCTCGCAACAGTCAGCCAGTTCACAAAGGGTCCGATGTCCTTTGTACCAATCTCTCATGCGTTCTCTTGGCCTGACCATGGTGATGTGGTGTCTGCTGGGAGTGATACACATACAAGGGGGAGATGTGTTCTCCTGTTCCTGCAGATTATGGTCCGGACTTATGCAATGGAGGTGACTGTGCAAGTGGCACATAATGCGGGAAGGTCTTTGTAACACTGGGCAGATCCACATTCTCTCATTCAGCTTGTTGCTGCTGGCAACTTCAGACATGGACTGGTGGATTGGCCTTCCAGAGACATGACTGTGTTGTGGCAGCTGAAATCCACCGCATCTCTTGCTGTCGAAATAGAGAATGAACTGTGCCTGCTTTTGTCAGCTTACTGTTTGTGAGCACGGCAATGATTGTGTGCAAGGCCTTGCAACATGGAAAACAACTAATGTATCTTTATGATGGGGTTCGGGTGACCTCTGGTGTTTGGAGATTGAAAAATCGTCACCACCTTCATAGGCGCTATGGATGCAGATGTGCATTTTGCGCTTGATTGGCTCACCATTGTACTGGAACCCCAAAGAAATATGGATGAATGCACTTGCAGTGTTCAATTTCCACTGTGGTATTTTGAGTAACTCTGTGATTATGGAAAGATGATGGGTGAACAAGAGGAAGAAAACAACCAGAAGGCCATGCTTTTGGCTCACGAGCCTTTGGTTGCTTTGCACACAAACGTTTTGTGTAAATAGCAATTGATTCTGCGGCAGGCATTAGATGGGTTGATGCTGCATTTATCTGCTGTTTTGTCTGAGCTTCCCTTTGAGGCCTGGTATCCAGTGTAGCATCCGGGCGTACTGTTTGACGCAATTTTTCTTGCTGTGGGCGAGCATCGCTTGCCAACCTGGTATCCAGTGTGGCATCCGGGCATACTGTTTGACGCAATTTTTCTTGCTGTGGGTGAGCATCGCTCGCCAACCTCCTTGTGGTCATGGTGGTGATGAAACTCACTGATTCAATTTGTGGTTCTTTTTACCTCCAGTCTGCTACACCTCTCTCCAAAATCACGACCCTGTGTGTCATCACGGCGGCTCGCTCCATGCCACCAACGACAGCGGCTATGACAACTGTGCCTTCTGTGACTGTCCCCCTGAATGGGGTGGAGTGGAGTGCAGCTGTGAGTTAGCTTCCGTCTGTACAAAATGGCATGAAAGCCAGGGAGACATTCCTGAATGGTGTACCAAGTTTGCTTTTGGTAGACAATGGGGCTGTTGCTGGACATTTGGTGCATTCTTTAAGCGGCCTACTGCGCTCCTTTTGGAATGGGTATGGCTCATTGGAAGAAGCCAAACGCTATTGTTATTGAAATTGCACACCCGCCATCTCCAAATTTGGTGAAGAGCTTGCCACATGAGACAAAATGTAATCACAGAATTTCACACCTTTTGCATAGTTTGCAGGCTGGTGGCACAGCCCATTTTTGACCAACAGCACAGTTAGTGGCTCGCTTTGTGAGTTTCATGTGTGTTGCCTTGTGACTCACAACTAGTCCTTACACTCTTGTTTTCGATTCCTTCCTGGATGTCCTGCAGTCCTTGAGTTGTGGCAGGCAGATCGTCACAGGACTGTCTGTGCCACGCCACATGCCACAGCGCAATAGCACGCCTGATGCATTCGGATCCTTGCCTCCAGTTTGTGATACGGTGTGACTAATTTATTGTTGTACACAGTGTGCAAATCCATTGACTCGTGCCCACCGATGGAGGGGAACGATGGCAACACCCAGAATGCGACACAGTGCACTTGGGACAAAATCTACCCAACAGACGATGAGCTTGTCCTGGGCAAAACGCTGTCATGTCAGTGTGGTGGCGATGATCCCATGACACAGTTTGCTTGCAAGACGCAACCTTCCACCACTTGGCAAGTCGAGCTGATTCCAAGGAATTCAAGCGGCACAAAACCAGTGTTTGACTTGAATGTGACTGAAAGAGCTGGGACGCCATCACAGGTGCAGACATTGATGTTGCAAATAGGTCTTTGCCATGCGGTCTTTGCTCTCCCATATGCGAAAGCAATTGCTTCGAATCATTAGATTGAACAAAAGCATCCTTGCAAGTAACATGTTGAAGCATGTTGGTCACATCACATATCTCTGCATCAAGACGAAGCTGTATTGCAAACTGTATGAACCTGGTTGAATGTCCGCCACAACTCCCTTGATGGCATTTTGATTGTAGTACATCGTTTGGAATACACTGTTGCATACACTTGTTGAGTACGTGTGGCAACGTGCCTGTGTGCTTCATTCATTCTAGCAAAGTCGTTGGCTTGCTTTCAAAGTGCTCTGCACTGGCTTGGTCTTGTGCCTTGGAGACTCTGGGTCAGCCAAAATCTGCACGGCTGTTCACACAACTCTGCTAGACAGCAGACATCGTCTGCGTTGAAACCCATAGTTGCAGCGGTGTCTACAACAGTACTTGCTGTTTGAAAGTACTTGGCTACTGTGCAAATTTCTGGTGGCAGCAGCCTTGAATTCCCTCTGTGCCACAGGACCATATGCCCAGTTGTGCAGGCTGCACCAAAGATCGATATAAGTGAGTGGATACCTGCATCTGTGGGTTGCATTGAGGCTGACAGCTTATGAGTGCTGGCAGCTGACAGCTCATGCTCAGTGTTTTTTGTGGCAGAACAATGATGCAAATAAAATGCTGATTCATTTTGAGTTTGCCCCATGATCAGAATGACTCCTTTGCACCTGCAGGGCGATGAAGGGCAGAGTTGACAGCTGAAAATGTCTGTACACTCACTCTGTGCATTTGCTGCTCTTGCTAAACTGCGAAAATCTGAAAAACATTCTTCTCTTGATTATTTGGCCTGAACAGTGTTCCAAGCTGCAAGGAAGAACAGCTGTCGAGTTTTGTTAACAGGTGCTGATCTTGTGCTGCACTTGTTGATGCCTGTGACGCTTGACAGTATGCTTGTGTGGTAAGGTATGCATACGCTACAGTCTGGGAGGGCATCTTCAATGAGTGCACATGGACACAGGACACCTGTCTTTCACCGATGGAAGGGGACGACTGCATTGTCTACACATGCAAGAACTCAACCGTCCACTGCCCTCCTCCATGTGAGCAGCGATGGCACCACAAATCGTGGATAATGTGCAGGGATGTGTACTTTGTTGTCGTGTCAGTATTTGTAGGCACCTGCAATGTCAGTGGTTCCACAGAGCATGGATAAAATGTGCTCTCCATAGCATGACAAGTTACGTGCACTTCGTTACGGTGTTATGCCGGCATCCTTTCTGCGTCCATGTTGCCAGTGTTCACATGCATGCACAGATCGTAAGGTACTTGTTTTCCATCTGCTACTTGCCTGCATGTTGAGTCCCTAGCTTTTGTCTTGACTCCGAAGTCGCCAACATGCAATGCAGTACAAGTTCTGCCAAGTTGTGCTTGATGGTCTGTTGGCACCTTGGTGGTTTCTCACTGCACTATCTTGGTGCACAGTGGATGGCCAGGAGATGGAAGTGACACATTGGTGCAGCCAGTATTTTGACGTTCGTTGTGCTGTTGTGGTGTGAAGACGTTGAGAAATGCCCTGGATGGACAGTCAGTGGTTGCGATAACCCTCCCGGAGAGTCACGACCATACTGGAGCCACCACTGTCAGCCGCTCACTGTTCCGGCCACAAATTCGGGAATCAAGGTGGCATGCAAGAACAACATTGTTGACGGCGCATTCCAGTGCTACATCACACAGGTGTGGCATTGTTGGCTTGTGATCTTTATGCAGGCCCCTGAGCATGTGCGTTCACAAGACACTTGTGGATTGGCCAAGTGCATACACATCGGTAACTTTGTGGCACAGCAGTGCCTGTGAGCTGTGCCTCATGTTTCCAAAACTCTGAATGGAACTCGGGCTTGTGTGCAGAACTTCTATGTCCCTGTGCCTGCTGTCACCAACGGTCGCTGCACCCTTCTGGTGAATTTGTAGTGGTGGTCAACGTATTGCATTGCATTCTTCCCATATTGTTTGTACCTTTTGCATTGCTTACCTCTTTCACTGTGTGTGCAAGCAACTTCTGTCCAAGCATGGTGCAATTTTATGTTGCTCGTTTTGCTGCTTGCTTGTTTTCTGCATAGCCCACCTCCCCTCAATGATATCCATTGTGTGCTTTCTGTTGCAGCCAAATTCACCTGTGTCGGGCATTGGGATGGTGTGTTCAACGGGGTCGTGCATCTACCAAAACGCACCACACCCACACAAGGGGGGGCAAAGCAGTGTTTGGTATTGGATGGATCACCATCATGAGACGATAGTGCTTTTTGTCATTGCGGCTGTCATGGTGTGGCTGGCAATTTTGTCTGCCACCACAGTGTGGCTGGACTGGAAGCAGTCAGTAGAGAGGATGGAGAGGTGGCTGAGGAAGGGCCCAAGCTATGGGAGTGGTGAGACAATGTAGTTTTTGGCAGCTATGGTTGAATAGGTTGCACCGCCAAGTGAAGATGTCCAATACAGGTGCTTCAGTAACATCGAAGAGTTGAAGCGCAATGTATCAATACACTCCTGTGTGGCATTATCTGTTTTGGCTGATGGTTGCCAAGCGGACAGATTTGCGTTGCTGCTAGCTGTTGTTACGTTGCTTCACTCTTGCAGCGAATGGTGCTGAGTCTAAGGTGTCTGGACTGATGGCCATGTTGTTGATTGACTTCCTTTACAGGCACTGAAGAGACTAGCAGTGCAGGGACGATTGACGATCCTGGAGCCGCTTCGTTTCTCTTGGACACAGGGGACATGGCAAGGCCGCCTGTGGCGTTCTCTTGGCACGACATTCATTACTTTGTGTCCCCGAGCAAGAAACAATTCAAGTTTGTGCTGCAAGGCATCAGCGGTGCTGCTGTGACGGACAGCAGGGCACATTCGGTAATGATCAGAGACTATGTGGGGGCCTGGTGCTGAACCGTCCCATTGTCAGTACATTGTGCAAATTCTCTGAGGAGGGAAATGCAAAAGGTGCCTGTGTTTGCAAACATGAGCAAAAGAACAAACAATAATCGCTTTTTACTTGATGCTGACTCCCAACTGTGCTGTCTAACACAGCTTGGAACAGAGGAGATTCAATCCAGATACTGTAGACTGATGTGCAAGTCTGATGAGACATAGCTGGGTGCAGTTCATGATGGAATTGTCGGTTACGAGCGGGAATGGGGCTCCAGAATGCCTAAGCCATTCTGTGCTGTTTCCACCAGGAGCGTGGGGGCAGCATGTTTGCAATACTGGGGCCCTCCGGTGCAGGGAAGACCTCCCTTCTGGATGTGCTGGCAGGACGCAGGAGGGGCGGTGTGTCGGGCACTGTGTATGTGAATGGGAACAAATTTGACCTTCGGACCAAGGCTTCATACATCAGCTCGCTGGTGGGATATGTGTACCAGGTGAGTTTTCAGATGCTGTCTATCTCAGACTCTGACAGTGTCTGGTTTGCAACTGGTTTCTGCGCAAGGCTGGTTCTATGCGTCCTTTCTAATGGTATCAAGGAGACCTTCTTTCTAGATGAGCAAAGCTGCTCACCCCAAAGACTGCAGACATATTTCACCGCTTCTACACAAAGAAAGAAATATACTAGGAAAACCTGCATAGGACAACAGGTGCAAGAGGGCTGGGCTTGGTGTTGATGAGCTGCAGGGGCACATTAAGTCTGAGCGGCACAACATGGACCTTGACAACCTGTGCTCTGAATTTTTCCTTTGTAGGTATGTGTGCATTGGGAAAGTGGATTTAGGTATGGTGTCCATATGCACTGCTTTTGGAGATTTTCGTTTACTGTATGGACACCACAGGAATTGACTCCATGCATGCAGCTGCTTTTCTTCTGTCTCAATCAGCTTGCTTTGCGAAAGCAGAGAAGAAAAGGTCTGTGCCCCAAATGACCAATTGCATTTTCATTGTTGATGCTTCTGTCAGTGTTCTGTTTTCTTTGAAAGGCGTGCTGAAGTTGATTGTGGCTGATTATGCTGGTGGTTGACACAGGACGACATCCTGCCTGGTACGTCCACTGTGTTTGAGTATCTGATGTTTCATTCATCGCTCAGACTGCCGCCATCAGTTGGCCACAAGGAGCGGGAGTGGCGAGCAACGCACCTCATTGACAGCCTGGGCCTGGGCCGTGTGGCCCACAGTTTTATTGGTGACCAGTTCACGAGGGGGCTGTCAGGTCAGGAGAGGCATGTGATGCCCTGCTCTGAAGGGGCCCTGCGGAAGATGTTCCATGCACTGAGCGGCATTCCGATACGTCCATTTGTCTGAAATTGGTTGAGGTTTAAAAGTAGAGGGGCATTGTGTAAAGCCATGTGCAGCTGTTGCAGTGCTGCAGGGTAGAGGCCCAGCTTGAACTGGATCCTTCTCAAACTGCAGGTTTTTCAGGGACCATATCCAAGAGGATGACTGCATTTCTTGGACATCAATGATTGCTGTGAATTGAAATATGCACCATTCCCTGTGTCATGCCAGCGCACCAGATGTTGAACCAGCAGCTGACTCCTGCGGTGGACCATTATTTGACAGGAGCTGTGGGGATTGGTTTCCATGCATAGCAGTTAATGCTTGATGGAAGATTTGGACTTTATGTTAATGATGGGGGTTCGTGTTCAATGTGCCTCAGGTGGTGAGAAACGCAGGGTAAGCATAGCTTGCGAGATGCTCACAAGTCCAAGTATTCTGTTCCTGGATGAACCCACAACTGGCTTGGACTCCACAAATGCATCCAAGGTCGTCGACATCCTGGTGGACCTGTCAACTGCCAATGTGAATGTGATCTTCAGCGTGCATCAGCCACGTGCTGACTTGTTCGAGCTGGTGGATCGGGTGCTGCTGCTGTCATCCGATGGACAGGTGTGTTGCATCAGCAACTTGTTGCCACTGATTCTTGCTGAAGGAGCAATGCATGTCATACAGCTGGCACGCTCTCAAGGCGCAGAGATGTCAGTCTGCTCTTAAGCCACTTTTGGGTAGCAGTGTCCAATTGCAAACGCACACTTTTCAAGCAGCAGATCGAAAAGCACAAAAGCAGCACTGCAGAGGCCCATGTGAGGTCTTGCGAATATTGGAAGCAAACATCTCAAGTCAGATGCCTGTGGAGAGGTTCAGTTTTCTAGTATTGTCTGGGATTCTTTGGTTTTGCAGCAGTTTGTGCAGCCGTTTGCCATCAGAGATGTTTTTGTCTCATGAGATCACTGGGAGTGGCTGAGCATAGCTGCCTTTGTTATATTCTTGCCACAATCCGTTTTTGGGATGTGTAGTGCGAACAGGGCAGAGCTGTTGATAACCATCCACAAGAATGTGCTTGATAGCAGAATGGAACAGCTGAAAGCATGCCTATAGAGTACAGATGGCACGCACCAATGCAGATATGCACAGCGCTCACTTAATCTGGGGCCCTCTTCATTCCTGCAGACAGCATATTCTGGCCCAGCTGCCTTTGCCGAAAGATATTTTGGGGCTCTTGGATATGGCCTGCGGCAGCGCGGCAGCTACTTCATGGACTACATGCTGGACGTCATGATCAAAGCCCCAGCAGCCGAAGTGGACCAGTTGGTGGAGAAGTTCCATACCTCTGACATTTTCACAGATGAGAAGCGCATCATCCATAGAATGAACCTGTCTCCTGTGGAGCTGCCTTCTCCCATTTTCAGGGCCTCATACATTCGGCAACTGAGGTGGGCACATACAGGCCTGAAAGGCATGCATCGCAATGGCTTGACCACCCCACTGCTGCAAGCCATGTCGATTGTGAATCCAATATGACAGCATTGCAGCTGTGGTTGGTAGAGAGCAAACCTGTCCTAACCGAGGCCAACTTTTGCTGTCACACACAAAGATGACAAATGATGATGAAATGGTTGATTTTGATGTGGTGTCTGTAGATTATTTTGAGCTGCTCTGCAGAGCATGTTTTCACCCTTGTGTTGAGGTTTGAGCTCTGGTCTGAATGCGTGCGTGAATATTGGAACAAGACACTGCTATGCAATCTTATGAGTCGAGATGCAGAGCTGCATGAAATGGTTGGTGGCTTTGCGTGCTCGTAGCAATCTTGGTTGCATGTTGAGCCTGATATATGAGCAGCTGTGGCCAGTGACACACAATGATACTCCATGTTTGCTGTGTTTGCATCGATATCGACAGTGTCCTCTATGCAGAAGCCATATGTCACAACATCCATGGTATCTGCCAGACTGATTGGTGTGACTGTACAACGGTCAGCGGTTGCATATGCAGGGGATGACCAGCACACTGAACAATCGCACGCTTGTTGTTTGGGTCAGGTGCTTGTCCACACGGTTGTTGAGGAACTCGATTCGGCACCCCCTTGTGATTTCTCTGAATCTTGTGGCCACGTTCGTGGTGGCCCTGTTCTTGGGTGCCATGTTTTGGGACACGGGAACCAACACAGAGGGAATTCAAAGCCGTTTGGGGGTCCTGTTTTTCCTCATTCTGTACTTTGCAGCGATGAGCTTGAGTTCACTCCCAATCTGGAGGTACGGCACATTTTCTCGGCTGCATCTCCTGAAACTCTCTTGAGCGAGCACACTGTGGAACAGTTTGCCAGAACACATGCCTTGCCCAGCACTACGCTTATGGTGTAAAGGCATTGTTTTGCACTGCCGGGTGACATAATCGAAGGAGTCCACAGAGCTGTGCATGCTATTTCTGTAGTGGCAATGCCTCTGTTACAATAGTCTTGTCTGATTCCTGTTCGTGCAAACAGAAGGCAGCACGTGTGCGTCATTAGATTTGGCCAAAACAACTTCGATGCGCCATATTCAGAGCTATCCACAGAGCTCTCAAACATAGCAAATGGTAATGCCATTCTCAGGGATATGGCAAAAGAGCTGAAACGAGCTCTTACCCTTATTGGTGCTTTGGACGGGGCATGGCAAGCTTGTCTTGCCCTTCAATAAAGCTTGTTCAAGCTGAGCCGTTGCATGGAGAGAGACATGCCTTGGTGCTTATTATGAAGATCCAGCTCGTTCCAAATAGAATCTATTAGGAGAGGATCGTAGTGTGCAGCTATATTGGGGTTGTCGCACCTCATGGAAGTTGTGCAGGAAGGTTGAAGGCCAAAAACACGTCAATCATTGTGGGAGCATCTATGTGGCAGAAGTGTCAAAGTTCAGAAGGCTGTGCATACTGACATGAACCAAATAGGCGGCCTAGATTTGAGGCCAGCATGGCCAGTCGTTGAAAGCGAGAACTTTGGAAGCCTGATTCACCACTGCCGAAGAGATGGTCCATAGAGAGTATGGCAGTAACGATGCCAAAACTCTTGAAAGGGTGTGGTAGTGCCCTTGTGCTGTTTACAACAAGTTTCTTCAGCAACTTTAGGGAAAGAAGTTGGGACATACCGTGATAGAGTCCACGCAAGAATGTTGGGAATTGAAGCCAGCATGGAACTCTGCATGGACACTGTTGACAAGGTTGCGATTGCCGTTTTGCATTGTGATGGCCGAGGTAATCGTGAACCAAAATTAACCAGACAGTCCACACCTGGTCACAGAATGACCCATCGAGTCGATCTTCAAAAGTTATAGCGAAAATTGGATATATGATGAGACTTATACAACAGAAGCACTATTACGGTGGCAGTTCCTATTGTTGCGTTTTCCTTGGGGATGTCGTTTGTTGGTGATCTGTTTCAGCTTATCTGCCTTTTGTGTGGGCTATGTTGATTTTGTATGTCATTGTCATGGTAGACTTACTTGTGTGTCTCTTTCCAGTCCTTGCAGTGCAGTCTCTTGGCACAGGGAATTGGCAGCCTGAGATGTTACTAAGAAACCAGAATCTATTTGCTGTCTTACATTGTTACATGACTCAAACCCTGTCTGTTTTCCTATTTTCTATCTCCCTTTTCTACCAACTGACTATTATGAAGGTCCATATTTCGCAAACATTTCTTCATTAAAAAAGGTCACTGTATCCTGTGATGTCACAGCTGTGTTGCCTAATTGTCTTGCTTATGTGTTTGGCAACCTTGGTGAAAGCCATGTCTACCAACTTTCTAAGTGCAGTTCAGCCTGCATTCCTGCTACTGTCAGCTTGCAGGATCGATGTTTCAAACTGTCAGGCAGCTTTCCTGATGGAGAAGTTTTTTTTTTGGTGGTGTGTGTGTGGGGGGGGGGCGGCTCAACCCATCACCAGAGTGCAGGGATTGACCTTACAGACCACAAGTGCCAAAATGGCCTCTGCCAAGAGAAGCTCATGTCAGCGTGCACATTTGTACAAGTTGTCTTGCCCTGTTTCAGCAAGAATTCTTCACTGACGTTTTAAATTTCCTTGTTCAGGGCAGAGAAGTTGTTGTTTATGCGTGAGCGTGCTGCTGGTGCCTATGGCACCCCTGCATATTTTGCAGCAGTACTGGCCTTTGATCTCATACCCCTCAGGGTGATTCCACCAATCTTCTTTGGTCTGTTTTCATACTGGATGATCGGGCTGCATGAACGGTGTGCACTGTGCATCGTTGCTTTCATCGGATTGCTGGTCATGATCAACATGGTGGCATCTTTGATGAGCATGATGATTGGTGCAGCGACTCCATCGAACAGCGTGGCCAATGCAGTTGGGAGTCTTGTGATCATGGTGTCGCTGCTGTTTGGTGGCTTCCTAGTCAACAAAGATGAGATCCATGACCATGTGTCTTGGCTTGTTTCGGCTTTTGCCAATCTCTCCTACTTCAATTTTGGTTATGAGGTGAGCTGTCATGAGCAGCTTTTCTCTTTGGGCTTGTGTGTCTTGGGCTTGTGGTCCTTGCTCCCAGGGTCCTCTGTGCTTGGCCTGGGGGTGTTCAGTGCTTGGAGTCTGGGCTTGCATCTGTGCAACCTCCACACATGGCTACAAAACCAGCTCCTCATCATGTCTTTCCTAGCCAATTCTGAGGGACAAGTAGCAAGATATGCAGTTTAGACACTTTTAACTGCATTATGTTGCCAGACGAACTCCTGCGCTGGAGGTTTTAACGAATTTGGTTCCAGAACGGTTTCAGTCTGCACCTGTTCGTTGTATTGCATTCATGCTTTAAGAAACATTCTTATTGCTGCATTCTAGTTTTTATACATTGGATTGCTGAAAGTCTTTCTGTTTATCCTTTTCTGTTGTGTATGTGACACAGGCCCTTGCCGTCAACGAATTCGACAAAGCTCCTGTGGATTTCATATTCACTGCTCCTATCACATTCAAAGGCCAGAAACTTCCCCCTCTGCGAATACAGGGTGACATGGTGCTTTGCGAGTTTGGATTCAACAAAGACCAGTTCTTTGTGGATCTCATGCTTCTGGCGTGCATTGGCGGTGCATGTGCATTGGCCACATTCTTTCTGCTGCTTGCTGCTGGTGAGTGAAGCTGTCCTTGTGGGACACATTGCAATAGCTGCTGCAATCATCGCGTGTCTGCTGCAAACCATGTGCGATTGGAGCTCTGCCACCAGATTGTGCACGTGTGTAGCGACTGCAACTCAGGCAGTTGCCAGTGGTTCTTGAGGTTGCAGCCAAGAATTCAGGTATGAATCATGTTGGAAGTCGGCAGTGGTGCTGTCACCCATTGCTGAAGCTTTTCATCTGCGGACGAGTTGAAAAGCTTTGTGGAGCAGAAGCTCCCTTGTTCAATACACAAACGTGAATCTGTAGGATCGCAGGCCGTTTTGGATCGCAATCGATTGCAGTCGTTTTTTCATGCACTGGCAGGAAGAGCTGATGTTCATAAGTTCAAACAGAAACCAAAGTCAGTTTCCCCTGCATGAATATTAAATCCGTTTTCACTGCTTTTGGTCCTGTTGATTGCTGCATGTGTGGTTTGTTGCTTTCCAATTGTTGCCTGCTGGGGACAAGTTAGTTGTGGCGTTAGAGATGAAAGTGCAGCCACTGCGTTCAGCTCAGGGCAGTAATGCCATGGTGTTCAGGTCGTGGCTGGTGTCTATTTGGCGCTCCCTCAAGCCCCAGAGTTCAGCAAGGTGATGTGTGGCACAAAGGACGCCTGCGTGCAGATACGCAACTGCAGGAGCTGAACAGAATTGCAGGAGCTGATGCAACAACGCCACTTCTATCTGAAGACTCTGCAGAGGATGGTTCTAGGGAGAATGGTGGCAATGTCGATGCATCGGCCGCAGGCTCGCTTGTTGTCAGACCGTGGGCAGTGAGGTATCCATCGGCTGAGGGGACCTCCACTCCCGAGTTGTTGGTGAGTGCTGCACACAGTCGATGTGGCCAGCAGTGGCTGTGAGAATCTTTGCTGATTCACTTTGCTGACAATTGACAGTTTAGTGCCCTTTCAAGCGCTTAGCAAATGTCAGGCAACGATTTCAACCTTTGCAGAATTTCCATTTGATTGCCTGGGTGCCATGCTGACTCGAATCAAGGCCACCATGGAACAGGCAAACACTCGACTGACAGTGGACGATCACGCATGCCCTTCTGCTCTTGCGTGTGTATGTTTGCCCAGTGTTTGGCTTGGTCGTTTTTACCATCCCTGGTATTGCCTTGTGGAAAACAGCACACAGGTTACAGTGTCATTCTGTTTCCTGCTGTTGCCCTACTGCACCTGCATCGTTTTGGAGTTGCCACTTTGCGATCTACATTGGTATCAATTTCTAGAGAAGCATCGTGTTGTCCTGGCTTATATTGCTGATGTTCTTTTCTTGCGGCACAGGGACACAACGCCCTGATACTGTCATGGGACAACATCTCCTGCAGGGTATGGACAACGCTGAGGCAAATGGAACGGAAAATCCTGTCTCAGGTGTCGGGCATCGCTGGACCGCCTCCTGGAGACTCCAGAACTGGATCCAGCTTGTTTGCAATAATGGGTCCCTCTGGAGCAGGCAAGACGACCCTGCTGGACATCCTTTCTGGCAGAAAGATGGACATGGGCGTCACAGGTGACATCCGGTTGAGTGGCCATCGCCTCTCTGCCCCGAAACTACGCAAGGCATGTGGTTACGTACTGCAGGACGATGTTCTCCCAGGGACTTCCACAGTGTGGGAGTACATCATGTTTCATGCCCAGCTTCGGTTGCCACGAGGCACTGAGGCAGGGAAGATTGAGGAGCGTGTCAAGCAGATCATGGATGACTTGGGACTGAACAAAGTGGCAAACAGCTACATCGGTGACTCCATGGTTCGGGGTCTCAGCGGTGGAGAGAAGCGAAGGGTCAGCATCGCCTGTGAGCTGCTCACCCAGCCAGGAGTGCTGATTCTGGACGAGCCAACGACAGGCCTCGACTCAACCAACGCCACCACTGTGGTTGACATGCTGGCAAGCCTGGCCAGCAGTGGTACCACTGTCATCATGAGCATTCATCAGCCAAGACCCAACTTTTTCCATTTGATGCAGCAGTTGATGATCCTGTCAGGGGATGGCCAGGTCGTGTACACTGGCACTGTTCCACAGGCCCACGATCACTTCACATCATTGGGGTACGCTCTGGACAGAGAGGGCATGAGCGTTGTGGATTTTGCCCTGGATTTGGTCATTCGGCTGCCAAGGGGCGAGGTGGATTGGATGGTTTCACAGTTCCTGCGCTCAGACATCGCTAAGCACAACACCATCTGGCGGCAGACCGTGAACGCAGATGCGGCATCAGGGGCTGGCAATGCGGCGATCAGAGCCATCAATGGAAGGGCCAAATATGCGACCGATCATAAGACCCAGCTGAAGGTACACTTTGTGTTGATTGTTGATGTGTTCATCCCCAAAACCCCACAACTTCAGTATGTGACATACTGAAATGCATCAGAACATATTTGTGAATGGGAAGCCACCAGCTCCCAGCAGAGTCCTAGAACGAATCATACACAGAAGAGAGAACAAGACTATCCCACGAAAAGATGAAAGGGGACTGTGAAGAATTTCTGTGAGGATTTCCCAACTTCCTAACCCTTTCACATGAAAAATCCAACACAGCTTGCTGAGGGGAGTACATGCACATTGCCACTTGCTGGACGTTGCTCAAATCCTTTGATTACAATGGTCACATAAACGTGGCAAAACACTGCCCTTGCACCTGAGAGGCAATGTTGTGCATAGAATCCAGATCAGTGTTTTTCAATGTATCGCATGTTTTGTTCATTGTCGCACAGAGTCCCTCCTCTGGAATCCCGAAAACCCCCCCATCTCCCAAAAGATAGTAATCTCATGTCTGATTCCACTTTCTAATAATGTACCCAATCCGCATTGGAAATCCTGGGACGTTCCTAGCCCCCCACAGTGCAAATGAACGTTGCATCGCCTTACATTTTAGCTGCTGGCAAACCCCACGTGTCTGCAGGTAAATTGGGGTAACACACAAGTGCTCTGCCATCCGCATGCTTGCAATGCCTTTGTGCTGTAGCGCCAGGTGTCAGAAAGTGAAGGCATGCGACTCCTTTGTCAGGGATAAATACCAGTCGTCCACCGGAAACCTACCCATGAGCAAACGGGGTGTGTGAACAGTGTGCTGTTCTGGCAGGAGCTCTTTTGAAGCAGGGAGACCTGTAGCAGTGTCCAAGAGGACAGGCCAGAATGCTGACCCTTGTGTCCTTGCTGTACAGGTGCTCTCATCCAGGTTTCTCAACAACCTTTATAGGCATCCCATGCTGCTTTTTCTCAACTTTGCTGCGGCCTCACTCATGGCTGTTGTGGTGGGTGCGGTGTATTGGAATGCAGGTGAGTCGTGGCAGCAACACCCTCACAGTCGTTTCGTTGTGTGGCACTTGTCGAGCAGGCAGCAAGGAGCACCCACACAAGAATGTTTGGTGTCTCTTGCCCTGGCTGGCAATCTCTGAAACTATGTGCAGTCTCGAATCTCATCACCTCAATGAGGCCAATACTGCACACCTGGTTGTGTGGCAATAGATGTCTGTACTGAAAATGGCCTATTCTGATGGCCATTGCTGGGACCATCGTACATGCAGCATAGATCGCACCCCCCACACACACACACAACATTCTTCCCGCTCTTCCATTCCTTTCCATTTTTGACGATATTGTGGGATATATTGGCCCTGCATTGGGCACTGTAATGTGGACATGGACATGCACGTGAACATTGTTGGTTGTCTTTGCAAGGGTCAATGGTGTGACACTCTCTGCTGTCAATATGCTTATTCATACTGTCAATGGCTTAACTACTTTCCTCTTTAAAAAAATAAAGTAGGTAAGCCATTGACAGGAGAACTTCCTCCTTTCAAGCATTTCTGTTGTGATGTTGTTCCTTTTCCTTTATCTTTTGAAGGCACAATATCTGCTTGGGACAGCTCTTCTTTTTCTTTGCCGATGGACGACATGCAGCGTATCTGTACAGCTGCAGTAATCAACAGTGACGAGTTCTGCAGACACCCCTTGAGCCTGTTGCTTTGGTATGTTTATCCTGTTTTCGACTTCATTTCTGTGGACACTTGCGCCTTCAGTGCGGTAGAGTGATCAGGTGCCACTGTGAGCTGGATTAGGAGGGGTGATCCAATGTACGATCTGTTTGACGGTGTCAAAAGTGCATCTTGACACACATTCACACATGTCATACAAAGCACAGATAAAACGTGCCTGCGACCTCCCAGAACAGTGCTATGTTATGAATGCACTGCTGTGTCATGAAGCAACACACAATCCTTGATCTTTGCTCCACTGCAGGTCACGACACGCCAGGGATTCAGAACCGAATGGGGTCGCTGTTCTTCATCACCATGTACCTTGCTCTGATGAGCCTGAGCTCGCTGCCACTGTGGGATAAGGAGCGACTGCTATTCGTCAGGGAGAGGGCCTCGGGAGTCTATGGGACAACGTCTTATTTTGCGGCAGTGCTGATCTTCGACGTCATCCCAATGCGCATCCTGCCACCATGCTTTTTCGCGCTGTCTTACTGGATGATCGGCTACAGAATGTCTCCCCATGGAGGTGATGCGCAAACAACATAAATTGTCGATGTCAAAAGTTTAGTTGTATGGCACTTCAGGGTGCTCGTCGAAGCAAACACAGCCAAGTCTTATGAAGCTGAATTGGGTGGCTTTCAGTTCTGCAGTGGCCAGCAAAAGCTGGGTTGCTATGGGCCATGTTGAACGAGGACTGAGCCAGACTGGTGTTTCTTTTGCTGAAGACTGGAGTTCTGTAGGTGGAAAGCAACTCCACTCCTTATTTCAGCTTGTTGGGCGCTCTACATATTGACAAGCGCAACCTGATTGGCTTCAATACGCCACAACTAGCCGAAATTCAATTGCAGCGCAGGGCAAACTCACTAACTATTTGTGCCATACCCTGAATGGTGCAAGGTAAGACTGCAATGACGTCATAAGTACTGTGGGTCACACCTATTCACACAATGAGCCTCCTATGAGTTGTACCCAGTCTATTTCCTATCTGTGTTTTCACGTGTCTGCTGAGCTTTTGCGGGGGTCTTTGCACAGTTTGGGCCAGCTTGCCGTACATTGGCGAGTTCCTGATGATTCTCATTCTCGTCAACATCGTGGCATCTACGCTCAGCATGCTCATCGGGGCTGCCATGCCGACGGCCAGCGTCGCCAACATGGTTGGCGGATTCATCGTCCTTGTGGCGTCTCTCCTCAGCGGCGGTTTCTTGAGCAGGAAGCAGATGTCCTCGGGAACTGCAATCAGCGTGGTGGACACCCTGTCCAGATTGTCTTACATGAGGTGGGCATGGCAGCAGGTTGGCGCTAACTGTAGCCAGGCGCTGGCGTTTCACATGTCCTGTGACCTTGCTGCCGATGGCAAAGTCTCAAGTTGCCCTGTGCATTGCATTTGTTGCAATTCAAACAAACTTTGTCAGTCATCCTGGAGAGCCATGCGAAGCCAGTGGCGCCAGTGCATGGGGCGTTCTTCATCAATGCTGTTCCTTCCTCCTGTGCCGATCAACGAAAGCAAGGTGAAAACGATTAAGGGGCGAGTGGGGTAGACGTTGTGTAGTTTTTGAGGGGTTTGGGCACGACAGCTGTGTACTGCCTGCAGCTGCTTGATGCAGACATGGGGATCTAAGTGGGACCCTGTGTTGCGTGTAGGTATGGAGTTGAAGCCCTTCTGATCAACGAGTTCCACGGGACGGACGGGTACTTCTTCACTGTGTCATACCATTGCATACCGATGTCTGGCAAGCAGCCCAAAGCCGCCGTGACTGGCGACATCATTCTGGAGACATTTGGCTTCTGGCACTCCTTTACAGACTTGAGGTGGGACGTTTTGGTGCTGGTGGCCTTCATGGTGGCCAACTTGGCTCTCACGTACCTCCTCTTCAAGTACCGGGGCCGGCCAGGGGAGCCCTCCATCGGCGGCCGACTGCAGCAGGTGATAGTAAAACTGCTGCCAGCGAGGTGGCGCAAGCCGCGTTCAAAGCGAGGACTGCTGCTGGAGGAGAGGGGGGCGATTGACGGGCACCTAGAGGAGGAAGCCGGCTGTTAGCTGCTCGGCCCGTTGGGTGCAAAGGGGCGCGTGGCGATTCAAAAGGGCTTGGATTGTTTGATTGGGTGGGGTGAGGTTCAGGGAATCGATTCTTGCGGGCCTGCGTGGCCTGCGGGAAACATTCTCGTATTGGATTCCGGGAATCGGTGCATGGCCGCCAGGCCGGACTGCTTGTGGAGGATGGCAGGCAGGCGCGGCCTCTGGAGGCCGGTGTTCAGCAGGGGAATAAATGAAAAGGGTTTGCCGCGCTGGGTTATGGCTGCCCTGTTCGCTTTCGTTCACCGGGAGAGAAAGGAGGCAGAGTGCATGACAGTGGGTGGGAGCTCCGGGGGCACCCAGCATGGTTTTTTACTTCTCGGCGTTCTCATGACCGACTGGAGTTTCATGGGCGGGTTGCGGTGCACAATCGTCGTTAGATTTGGGAGGTGGGTGGTGGTAGGTAGGCGGGGCACACACCCCAGGGCGCAGTCTTCCGCGGTCCATGGGGTCCAAACAGGTTTGTTGAGCGCTGTCTGTATTATTGTGACTGTACTGCAATCGTTGTGCTGCCAGCGATGTCGACGGTGCTCTTCGCGTTTCCATGGTGGTGCAGGGGTGGAAGTTTCACGAATTGACAGCGGCGGGAAAATTAGCTGCATCATGACAGTGTCATGATGACACCTTTTCGTTCCTCCTAGGCAGCCCTAGGAGTGTTGGCATTTCTGCTGTACTGTCTCCAGTCCATTCCTTTCTCCAACGCAAGAAGCACACATAGACTGAGAACAATGGTGCAATTAAACGACTCATGGCCCCTTTTCTTGCTTCCTGGGCAGCCTTTGAGTTCCATTGGCGTTGGTCACCAAACATATCGGTCCTAAAATCTCTCCAACCAGACACGGAAGTGCCACATTCCAGGTCCCATTGAAGTAACCCAAACAAATACCGAGCCAACAATGACTATTCACCTGCAAAGGATTGCTGCGGCATCCTGGCGCTCGACAGCCACAAAATGCCTTCAAATGTTGAGAAAATGAGAAACCGCCACGTTGTTGGAACTCGCCCTGTGAAACGGAATCTAATGCACTATCCATCCGGCACACGCCATCCTGAAAGCTGGCAGTGCCCTGAGTCGAACACAACTGTGTTGGATGCAGTACGCCTCGGGCAACCTTTGGTCAGACCACGCCAGACCGCCCTGCAACGCCAATCTGTAGACACCTTAACTCCCGGCGTCCATAGCACCTGCCTCTGGCCCTCTGTCCTGCTGGCTGGGGTTGGGCGCCTGCTGGGCAGGCTGTGCCGCGCCCGGCCACCAGCTGTTGACTTGACGATAGTAGGGCTCCTTCAGATCCCACAAACCGCTCACCTGCATTCACCAAAAAGAAATCGGGTGAGGAAACGCCACACGCTGCACCTTGGGCACGCCTTTCAACGCCCGCACAACTGGCGGCGGTGGGATCATCGCCTGCTTTGCCACAATGCTAAAAGGCAGCGTTGAAATATCCTTAGCCAGGCACGGTGACACTGGATCCAAAGGATCATTCGCAACCCACCAAAATACAACGGATAGGTCTCCATAAGAGGCGTCGAAGTTGTTTTGGTCGAATTTTCTGAATCGCACGTTTTTGATCTTCACTTGCTCAAGTTAGGGAAGCGACTGTACTTCTGGAACATAGTGGGTATTGTTGGAGGAGATTCCCATGTCGCACTGTGACTCTATTTCTTGTCAACAATTCTTGTCCCCCACTGACGGGCTTTGCTGCAGCAAGATCACCTTTTGATGCGGTTGTCCCGGAGCAATTGGTGGCACTTCCAGGGTTGCATGGATGTCATAGCTCTGAAAAGCATGGGCCACCAGCCTCAGGGTGCCAACGACTTCACTTCCAGCAACAGCCCAAAGCGGAGTCTCCATGACACATCGCAATTGAAACCTGGTGGAGCACGCAGCTCAAGCAAGGCACATCAGCCAACAGTGAACCAGCCACATTTTGAAAGTGAACACACTGCAGAATGACGGCACATTGGTTTGAGTCAAAGAATGCTGGCAGCATGCACTGTGAAACAACACAAAGGTGCTACTGAACTACAATGGAACACGCTGCTTCAGTAGCAAACGCACCAGAAACAGCGATGGCTGCAGATTGCGTGTCATGGCACACTGTGTATGCTACTTGACAGGTCTACCCTACCAGTGTGTGATGGGGAGGCCAGGGGCTGTGCTTAGCCATTCACCCTTTGTGCTGCCATCGAAGAATACATCAAACCAGCAGGCGACGCCATGGACAATGCATGGATGCACTGCACCAGAAAACGGACCCTATTTGTCAGCCCTAAAGATCCCAAAGTGCTGCTGCAATAGCAAGCCCAGCAGAGGCAGGTGGAAATTGTTGCTGATGAAGTACAAGCAACCGTCTTTCTTCACCTTGAAGATGTGCGCACATTATTCAAACGGCAGCGTACATGCCAATCCACATTCAACAAACTCACAACCAGTCACACAACCTCCTCTGCAACAACAAGCATACAGTGACAAAATTTTCTCTAGTCATCTGGGCGATCCCAGTGCGCATGCTTCCTGCTTTCATGTATGCTCCATGGTTTGGTTTTGCTCCTGCTATCAGCGGCTCCTACAGCGCTCGAATTTGCAAAAAGACACACAACATAACCGACAGTAGATGGCATTGCACTCAAGAGCATAAGGCTACAGCAAAACAGTCCCATTCTATGATAGATGCGCACTTATTGTGAAGCGAAGTGGGATCTCAATGTTGTACAGCTCATCTTCAGAAACTTCCGCAAAGTCCACAGGTTTGATCACCGAGGCGGAAACCAGTAGACTTGGGTCAAATGCATCCACCACCACCTGGAAAACAGCAGGCATCACCGTGGCCACTCTGACACGAGTGCACCAATGATACACTCCTATTCATGAACAACCCAAGGCTGCTCAGAAAACAAGCCGTCCCTCTGCGAGTGCATGACCTCCCAGGCAAGAAACGACAAAGGATGTCACGCATAAATGCTGGAAACAGTTCGTTCAATGCACACACAAAACATAAACATCGACTGAGCACCCCATACATTCCAGACAACGCCCTCTGAATAAAGCTTGATTGAACCGAGCAGAAAATGTTCCCCTGTTTGGATCAGGTGTCTTTCTTTCAGCGCTTTCTGCACACAAGCCACACCCTCTTCCGCACGCCCCAATCGTTTGCTTTGCAATACGCACCTGCTGGAAATACTGTTTCACAGCTTCACTATGAAGACCAGACACATTGGTCCCATAAAAATTGGTTTGCAGCCAGAAGGACGCCTTGCCATACAGCTCATTGTACAGTATCTCATCAGAAAAGGCAGCAACGTGGATACGGCCAAGTCTCTGCACAGTACAATAGCACACCAGTGCAGCATGTCACTGTGCGCCATCCAAAACGCCATGCAGGAAAAAGGTTATCACTTCGCTGTTTTGAAGCCCTCGAGACAGTCCCAGAGATGTTGGAGATTGCACAACAACAAAACATTGCATGAGCTGTGCTGCTGGCAATCAGCATCGCAGCTGAAGATTGGTAAAAGCCCAATGCGAACCACATGAAAGATTTGAACCTCAAGTTTCTGTTCCAACTATTGGTGGCCCATTGCTTCTCAAGCAGTGAGGTGCAGGCCACCTCTCAGCAATGGAAAACCCTCATGTATGGAGGAGATACAGTTGATGAATGCCTTCACACTACAAGCATCTTCGCAAGGTGCAGTATTTCTCCATTTTGGAATGACAACTGGTGGAATTCAGTGTTGACTGCCATTGTCACAAACTGCCAGGTCACCGGAATGAAGCAATTCATGTGAAATACTTAATCACTAGCACTCACGCTGATGAGGAGGTGCCAATTCCTTTTCAGAAACATCCATCAACTGCAAATTTGCTGCAAGAGTTGTTGCAAGGGGTGGGCTAAATGAACTCACTGGAAACATCTTGCCTCCTTGCTTCAGGAAATGGTCCCTGGCATAGATGTATGTCTCCAGCATACGTTCGTTCACAAGCAGTGTCCCTATTGGTTCTGATACCAACACATCAACCTTCTCGGCGACCTGAATCTCTTCAATCCTTCCTTGCACTACCTCGATGGAATCCCCATAGCCTAATATTCAGCATCACACAACCCAAACATTAGCTACACCAAATCATGAGCAACATAATCCCTGAAAGAAAGATATAATCCGTGCTGGAATGTAGCAAAACAGTGCAGACATCAGGACATTGTACAGAAGATGGCCTTTGTGACTACCATGAAGTGCAAAAACTGAACTCAAGACAAATTTCAGGCAAAGTGAGATGACATGCCCAGCGCTTCGGCAAAGATGCCCTTGGAAGCACCTGAAAACATGCATGCGGGATTCACTTATGTGGTGGCCACAATTTGTTGACATTCTGCAAGAAAACCATTGCCTTCAGAACACTTGACAATCTTCAGGGGTCGCCAACATTGGACATAGGACACTGCCAGAACAGACACTGGGGCCTGGGTTTGTCACCTTGCTCCCATATACACGCCAATGCAACAGCAGCCCAGGCACCCACGAATCAAAGAACGGCTCCAAGCGCAACCCCATCCTGAATGCCTCCCTTGAAACCCCCTCTCTTTCCCTTTCCCCACCTGGATTTTGCTCGGCCAGCAGCCGTGCCATTTTCGCCATGTCCGATGCTTCAACAGCATACACCTTGCGTGCTCCAGCCTAACTTGCCACAAGAAAATACGGTCAGGTCCAGTTCGAGTGAAGCAACGAGGGGGGTGCGGGCAGTCAAGTCATCAATGGACAGAAGCCACAAGCTGTAGCAATTCCTCCGTGGGGAGAATTCTCCTCACCAAATGCCAAACGCAGGCAGGAGTGGTTAGTGACCACATGATGGCCTCTTTTTCAAGTCCCAGTAGCTGATGATTCTCCGGCCTGCCTGAACACTGCCGAATGGATGGCTCAACTTGTTAAACTTCACTATTTTAGGTATTTCCACCATTTCATGAGAACAGAGAAGCACAACAGGCGCCCAGTGGCGCACCAGCCACAGGTGTCGATAACATGCACCATTGCGCAGTGGATGCCACACACAATTGTCACAGGCCATGGATGTCAATACATTCAGGGATGCTGTAGCAATGAGGCCGTTCTCAGCGAAGTGGCAGGCCTCCAAGCAACTCAAACAACCTGCATCCAAGGAAAACGACATACTGGATCGACAGTCGTGTAGGACGTAGATCCTCCGACACACCGCCGAAGGGATGCCTAAAATCAGGTGATCAACGTCAGTCAAACAGTGGAAGTCACCTGAGCAGCGAAAAGTGACAGGATGCCACTGCCGGCCCCAACATCCAGGACTGACTGGCCCTCAAAGTCGACCCTGTTGTTTAGGAAGGCAGAGTAGTAAGTTCCTGTGCGAATGTAGTCTTGCAGCATGTTTTGTTGGTGCTGCAGGGTCCCATAGTAATGGAAGTACATCTGTGCACTCCCCTGATCGGTCTTCTTCTGAAACCAGTCATGCTTTGCCTGCAAGAGTCCAACGGCCCCCAGAAGAATCAGAAGGCTGAAACGATGCCAAGAATCTTGTGCAAATGAACAATGGCCTGAATCCTGCCCCCTGAACATGCACATACTAACGTAAAGATTGTGGCCTTAATCATGCCATACACTGCAATTTCGTTGAACTATCATTTTACTAGTTTGAAGACAAGTGCACAGAACACTCTTCACTGCAATCTCACTTCCAAGGCTGCAGACATCAAACCTGTAGCACGCATTTCCAAAGCTGATGCAGGGTCAAGGCTGTTCCACCCTTGTCATCGCAATGCGCATTGCCCACATACCTTCTCAGGACTGGCCATCTCGATCGTCAGTAGGAACTTGTCAGCTGCTGGCACATCAGAAAATCGGGCTGCATATGTCTGGAAGTCCTCTCTGTGAGAGTGGGCCCCCTGTTCATTAAAGTGGTCCAGACCAAAGTGAATGATGTGCGGATGCACAAGTTCAACTTGATGACCTGCATCAGTTGCGGGCCCTTGGTATCTGTTCTGTGGCTGGTCTGGGAAGTACATGGGTTACAGTTAGCTGTCCATTGACAGCAGAGCGATGCGATGCCAGTGCAGATATGAGTGACTTGGTGAAGGGAACGTCAGTCAGGGGGCAACAAGCAGCAACAGAGCAATCCTGGGATTGTTGTCTGTGATCAGCCCATCATCGTCAGCGCCAAAGCAACTTCCTTCCAAGGATTTTGCACAGGGGCAATGAAGGCTTCATTGAAGGGCATACTACTTGGAGCTATTTCCGATGGCAGAATTGGACAGTTGACGTGCTCCAGGACTTACCAAGCTTAAAAGCACCTTCTGCGATTGCCCATCAACTTAATCCAGACTCTGGAACGTTGCGGAGGCATCTTCCGCTAACAGCCTACATAAGAGATGCCAATAGGCCCTACACAATGCTCGGACAAGTATTGATCACCAAGGAGAGCTTGATTTGTGCACGGTAAGCATCCAACAGGGGCACAAAGAAATCAGCAAGAGAACAAACAAAAGTTGTGTGCCTTGCACTTACATAGTTCCCTGATTCCTCATACACTGGGCTGTACCTTGTTCTTCAATCCGATCTTCAGGATAAACAACGTGGGACCCATCTTGTAGACCTGTGGATGCCAATCGAGAAGAATATTCTGCAAGTGAATCTGCTGCTGTTTGTCAAACAAGACTAGTTCAGATCCATTTCAGCAATCCCCATTAACATTTTGGTGAGATTAACTCCACTGTGTGCAAACAAGCAAACAGTTACATAGCCAACTGCCCAACCGACTTGCATGATACAGGTGGCTTTCCAAATGGCCTGATCTACAAACAAATCGTAGTTGAGGCAACAGCAGGAGGGCTTTCCTTGCATTCATTTTGTGATCCCATTCGCTCACCGACTCTTTAGACGGTGACAACTCAAAGAGCAGAACACCATCGTTGATACGCTCCACCACTAGCGAGGACTGCTGGGATTCGACCGCCAAAGTCAACTTCGCGCCAATCTTCTCGCCTGAAGCACAGCCAGAAGGTTGAGGCTCCAACAGCAAGTCTGCTCCCAGAGCCAGCCACCCCAAACCTTGATGGCCACACCACATGAATAACAACACTAGCCCAGCAGTCAGTTCCCGATGGTTGACACCCAAACCCCGGTAACAGGGATCATCCAGAGAACACAATCCCTCAGGGACATAATCCATCTGGCCAGCCAACCAGTAGTCAGTCAACAATGGGCCCCATGCCACAAGGCGAATGTCAATATGCGTACGTCGAAGTGCAGCGCCAGCCATCGCCACCTTCCGCGCGCAGATCCCGACAGCATGCGAGAGCGCGAAAGAGGACGTGCAACGGCATCGAACTGCATCGACTGTAGACTCCATTTCACGACACGGCGAGCATCCACCCGACGAGGCCCAGATCGCACCCCACGTCAACTCCCCGCTTCCATCCTCCGCCACCGTGCTTATCCAGACGTTGTCATAGGTGAAGCTCCGCCTTGAGGCATTTTGCTCCAGTGTACAAGTTTCTGATGGCTGCCCGCTCATGTCCACCTCAATGCCTGGAAGTCTCAGCTCAAGGGGGTGGTGAGGGCGCTCAACATATCCCAAACACAAGCTGGCTCGCGACGCCACCGCACCGAGGCCTTGTTTTCTGTTCCGTAGGGGACTGAATTCATGGCAAGCCCCAAAATAGCCCCCTGAACTCGATGCTGGGCAGAAGCAAGCGGGCCTGGGGCGATGCCCGCAAACGGCATCTAATTGCGGGCTGGTCGTTTTATGAGCAGGGCAATTGTCCCGGTCCTAAACTCGCGAGCTTAGGACTGCAAGCTTGCAGCCAGCCTGCCGTGGGCAACTTGCAAGTTGGCCAATTGTCGCTGACGCCTCACCAACAGCTTATTTTTGCGTTCGAATGGATGAATGCCTCCAAGGTCCCCAAACTGCGAAGCGTACTCAGCTTCTCGCAGCGCAGGGACGTTGCGCCACAGTTGGGCAAAGTGTACAGGGGCAGAAGAGGCAGACAACGGCATCACCTATATGGCGCCGGGTGCTGGCGACAAACTGCACCACGATCAGAGGCGCAGATCGCATCCGGGACTGAATCGGCGCGATTGGTAACACCAATCCGCGGGCACCAAAATGTAGACTTGGCAAGCCGGCCCGCCAGAATGGCGATCCGCCAAGACTATGTCCTGCGCCACACAGGGCGCATTCTCGAACCCAGTCCCACGGGTAAGCGCAAAATAAAGTCCAATGGTGGGCATTGAAGTCATTGAGAAAGGCGGGCTATTGGACGTGCCGAGCGGCGGTGGCTATTTAGGCGCCACCCTCGCTCACTGCTCTGGATCTTGTTCCGCTTCCGCCCTGTCCAGCCCTATGACACCCTTGAGAGGGAAGTTCCGTTTGGGTGTGGGTTGGAGGGAGAGTTCAGAACGGCATTGGGGTGCTACCCAGTGTGTATTGTAGTCTTGTACTGCCTTGTACACCAGCGAAACGATTGTACCAAAGGTTTTGTGGGGCAACACGTTTTGACGGTGATGGATGCCAATTGAGTTTGGAACAAAAAGCCATTGTCATGTGCGACAATGCGGGTGGGTCAAGGAGAACAGTCAGGAAGAAATTGAGAGTGCGGGTTAGCTTGAGCTCTGTATGCAATTTTCGCCCATCCGTGGAGGACTTGCCACATGCAAGTGACAAGGCCAACAGCAATGAGGAGATCCTGTGTCCAGAAATGCGTAACAACGCCCATTCCCCCTCCACATGTCCTGCTGGCCGCCCTTCATCCACCTTTAGATCCTCTCAAATTGATTCCTTCCTCCCACTCGCGTGTTTTCCCCTCCCCTCTCAAATGAAGAATCCCACTACTCAGTCAACCTAACCCATGGCCTCGTGCGCTCAAAATGCTGGCTCATGACAGCCAGATCGCAACGTTTCCCCCACCCCAGCCCACTCCACCCTTTCTGTTACTGCACCTGCCAAACCTGGCCTGGCGAACCCAAGCCCATCCACTGCTGCTATCTGGCCACCTGTGTCAATTTTTGCAGTGTGCTCTTCAGATAGTTCTTCAGCTGCTTGGTGTCAGTTTGCTGAATCTGAGAAATGAACTGCTGCTGGATGTCATGTGGCATTCCCATGGATGGCAAGATCAGTGACAAGCGCGCAAGGAACTCATAGCCACACTTCTCATGCACAGCACGCAGACAGGCTGCAACCTCCTCAAGAAAAGACACAGTGGCAGCGTCCTTGGGGTCCAGGCCACCCTGCAGCACACCCCGGATGCACGCATCCCCTCCCACCCTGTCCAATATGAACTGTTTGAATCCTTGGTCGGCGTTTATTCGATCGCCCCACTCTCGGACCAAAGTGCCCAAGGCATGCACGCATGTTCTGCGCACTGACGGGTCTACATGGGTTGCAGCTCCCTGGAGCACATAGTTCAATACATCAGTGTCAAAAGCACAGTCTCGAACCTCCTTGAAGCATGAACTCTGTGGAAATATTCACCGACTGTGCTGGCCAATGTTACTATCTAGGGGACACCTGTCAACCTGCACGAAGGATGGCACCTTGTGTCACTCACTGCACACAAGGGAGGCATGTGACAACAACTGCGACTCAATTCACAGTCTAAAGCAAGGGGTCACTGTTGCACACACGCTGCCATCCCCACTGCCATGTCCAGAGACACAAGCAGGTCCTACACTGTGGGGACATAGAGTGCTGGTCATTCATAACAAAACGGGCTGTCCAGGTCATACTCAACTTGACCAGGTCATTGCCCTGTGCAGAAGCAATAATAAAGGCAGCGGCGCAATGCAATCTATGTCCATCCATTAACAGGAATTGGAAAAGCAGGCAAAGACACTTAGAACACAATATAATACAATCATACACAAGTGTATGAACAGGAGGGGCAGAGACATGGACAACTGTCCACAAAAGACACAGAGCATAAATAAGTGCTAAGCCAAAAACGACACGACGACTTCTTGCACAACCAAAATGTGTCTCAATTCTCATGAGCAGTGAATGCAGCACCTCTTTCTGAGCACAAAGCACCACACAGCCGGGTGCTGTGTCAGGAATCACGCACCTGCGCCAAAGCTGTGAGCATAGCCTCCAGGCAACTCTGTGGGATCTGTAGAAGCACGTCCAGTGGGCCCTGATGAACCAAAGCATGCAGAAGTCCATAGTACATCCTCTGAAGCTCGCCCCGTTCACGGTACTCCTCCATCAACACTGGACTGAGCCCATTTGCGGGTGCCCCCGATCGAGCGGGCTGCGCATGCTGTCCGCTCCAGTCCCATTCAGGTGTAAGCTTGCCATGCACCTCTGCCTGGATGGCAGGCAGCGCTTTGAGGAGGAGTTCTGACAAAGAGCCTCGGAAGCGGTTGATGAGCTGATTGACCAGAGCGAGGACGTCACAGGTGTCCCGGGTGTCCGAGTTCTGGTGCATCAACACCTGGAGCACCAGCCAGCACAAAATGTGAGCAAAACGTGGCGAACATCTTGTCACTGCTCTTGCCACAAAATGACAGTGCAAAATCTTGGACTAAATTCGGCCAGGAAGGGCACACAGTATCATGCAGCACATATGTTGGGAAATGTAACCAGGCTCCCACACTCCAAAACGAAAAGGTACATTGCTTACAGCCCACAACAAAGGACAAAATATGTGTGACAAGAGCCACGCCAGCTCATGCTTTGACATATCGATTTGCAGTAGTAACATTTGGCACATCCAAATTCCAGAAAACAACTGGTTCTGCTTGTTCGCGAAAATACTTTCCAAAAGAGTACCTGTACACATACCTGGAGGGTCATTGGAAGGTATGGCAGTGTGAGTGTCCCAATCGTCTCAACCATGCGATGGACAAACGAAATGAAGCGTGCCCGAAGTGACTTGCTGTCAGGAAACGTCTGAGGGATGAGCAGAGCCTCATCAAAAGCTTGAACGAACAGCTGGCCTGCCACAAGGCGAACACCACATGAGTGCCAGACACACACACACACACACACACACTAGACATGCTCAACAAGGCATTTGCAGGAGTAAAGCACCTTTGAAGAGTGCCAACAGTCAGTGCTTAGCACTGTTGCACATGTGCAAGCAAATTCTTGTCCCACGTTGTGGTCCATTGCCCTGGCGCTGTGGGCAACTCCTCTCCCCCCAAATGCCATCACCTTCCATGCACTCTAATCGTACACTTCTAGGGCATGAGGCTCAGTCAAATGGGTAGTGGATGTGACTGTCAGCAAGGTGGTTGTGGGTCATCCATTATGACGAACGAGACCAAGCATCATCGCCTCCGCCAAAGAAAACTGCAATGCTTGCCTAGAGAAATACGAGTTCTGGGAATGGGTGCACAAAAGCAAAGCAAAGTGCAGAAGGGCTCTCTCGTTCTCTTGCATCAGTGTTGGAGCAATGCCCTATAGCCCTTACAACAGCATGAACTAGTGCTAGCCATCATGCCCTGCAATCGGCTTTCTTGTACCCCAATGTTTCATCGCAGCTCAGAGAGATTCCCATTTTCAATGGCATCACAAATCCTCAGATGTCCTTGTCCACAAGTGTTTCATCATCGCTGCGTCAGAAACCTTTGGGATCCCCACACCCTGCGCTAGGTGACACCACGATGCCTTTGGAAATGAGAAGCTGTCACGAAGACATGTATCAGCAATCAGCACACAACAGCGATCGCGTTCCCAAAAACGATCAGCAAATCGCCATTTAGCACTTCTTTGGCAACTGTGGATCGTTGCCGGGCATGCTTACCAATTTCAGGCCTGTGGTTTGTGGCAAGCTCTTGCTTGAAACCTTTGCTGAGCCTAGATATGCCCTCTAACGCTTGCTGCACAAGTGCAACACTGGTCGGCTGCTGTGCACCGACGCCCAGACACCCCTCAATCTGAAAGATTGCCACACAGCCAATGTTTAGCAGAAAACGGCCAAAAGCAATTGCACAAGCAGACTGTCACACCTCGAAGTGCATGCACGGAGGAACAAGCAACAGTTTCATGAGCCGCTCAATTCTAATTTACAATTGCCTTACCTGTTGTCTCGTAATGCTTTTATGGTCTTGCACCCAAAGATGGTCACATATGTCTATTGTTCATATGATGGCAACACACTGTCAGCTGCCTGGGAGAAATATGCCAGAGCACAGCTGACGCAAAGCTGATGGCTGATGGCCCATGTCTGTGCACAATGCCAAGGAAGACCCACCTGACGCATCAATGGCTCCAGCACAGCAACCACAAGCTCCCTCTGGCGATCAGAAGGCACATCTTCAGGGCCGATCAGCAAACCCACAGCCTCGAATACACACATTCGATCGTCTGTTGAGACAGTCGAGGGCGGAGCGGCACCCTGTTGTCTTGTACCGCCCACCAGCATTCCATCGAATTGGGGCGTTTGGGCCACATGCTTCAAGAAGGGTTCAAGGCTGGTCAGCAGCGAAGCTGTCAGTGGCCGCAGGTTGGAGCGAAGTGCTTTGATGAACCTCATGAACAGGTAGCATGCCCGAACTGAGACCTGGAGCAATGCAATCCAAAAGCCAATGCTGTGACCTCATTCTCAGCAACTGTGCTGCACGCAATGAAAGCGCTCGACCCAGCCACAACCCCCTGTAGGGCTGCAGTCACTGCAGCCCCAAGGGGCAACTCAGGACAAAGTAGCAATCCGACTGCTGGTGGACAATGGAGCCACACATAGTTTGTAATACAAAAAAAGTTGAAACCAAGACAAGACGTGCATCATCGCATAGCAGGAGGAAACAGACATGTGTACTTGGCAGCAAAAGGAGGCCCCAATCTCAAATGAACCCAAATTCCTGCTCAGTGCAGCCGAAAGTGCTTCTCACTATAGATGCTCAGTTGTGTTGAGGTCAATGACTTGGATTCTCATCACCTCAAGCGCAGTGGAGTGCAACATAATACGCTGCAAAGCATCCTGCAGACAACGTTCATTGAATGCCTGCTCACCTCAGATGAATTCCGCATCCCCCTGCCATCAATGAAGTTCGCCACAGCGGATGGCAAAACGTCTTGATGCTGCTGCATAACTCTAGAATACCGCACCAATATCTCCAGAACCGCAAGGGCCACAAGGCTGTGGCTCGCGTGTGGGACAGTAGAACGCACCACCTTCAGCACCAATGGCCCCAGAGCACCACATCCCTGCTTTGCCACTTCATCAGAGGCCGCCTCCCCAAGCTCATGCAGCAGGGTCAACACCAACTCAACATCCTTGTACACCACCACAGGCATATGTCAGATTTCTCAAATCGTTGCTGCAGTGCTTTCCCAACAGAGAATTGACATTCTATTGAGCAAATACTGGGAAAGCACTGCTATGAAAAGCTGCGCGAGGAGAAGGCTAGCTTCAATGCAGGCTGCAATTCAGCAAGTAGAAACAACACCTTGCAAAAATAATCGTCATAATGTTGCAGTCAGACAAGTCTGGTGCTTTTGACTGCTGTCGTCATTGGTACTCTGACACAGAAGATCACATCATCCTGCCTTTCAAATCCATATCTCACACTGTTAAATTTCCGTGCAGGCCATTGCCCCAATCGTTGTGAAACAAGCTGTCCAATACAGTGTTCCCATCTCTCCAAGGTGTCCAGAGCAATAATCTACAGTGCAAGTGCACTGTTCCCCATATGCAGACAATCTACGCCGAGGCATTCTCTGTTCACATGCAAGTGTCAAGTCAAATGTCATTCAATGCTGAGAAATGCTAGCAATGCCTGATTGTTTGGGTCAGATGCTTCAGCGCCAATAGCCTCTGTTCTGTGCAGGCAACTCCTAAAACACAAAGCAATCATAATCGAATCAAATACCTGACCCGTGTCAGTCCTGCTAGCCGCATTTCCAAGCATGCTCCTGCCTGGACTTTAACTATAGCTTCATGTTGCTGGCAACCACAGCTGCTGTGCAGATGTCTCACCTGAAATGTGGATTCAGGATTGCACAGGGTTGCTCCCAGTCTCGAATCCACGAACTGGACAGTTGGTGACATCATAACCCTGGCAATATTTTTGAACAGGGTAAGAAGGTCGCGCCTCCTGTCTTCAACTGCTTCCTGCTCCTCCTTGATGGCAGCCATCTCAACCTCAGTGCCACCATTCTGTTCAAGAATGGCAGAATCGCTTGGGTAGCTTGCACACTTCAACATGCCATCTAGTGTGCGCTTCAGGTGGTTTGATGCATTGTCAGAAACTGTGGCAGACCTACACATACAAACAAGTCATCACAATCACAAAATACACACGCACAAAACTCAGCCCATCATAAGGGACCCCCACAACCCCCTGCCAGAAAAGGAGAACCATAAGAAATTGACACAATCTCAGAATCCAATGCCACAACGTTTCCATGGTGGTGACAATCCCACCACATGAAGACACATGTATCGTGATGCTCAGATGGCCATCAACCTCAAGTGATACCTTTTCTGTTCTGCCTTCAGCTTTGTGACATATGCTGTCAGGAAGGGGACTATAGTCATGGACACAGTCTCGTCATCATTCTGCAGCACCGTCATGACTGCAGGAAACAACTCATCAACGATGCCCTCACAAGTGGCAACAGCTGCTGCAGCCTCTTTTGCTAACTCCTTGTCAAAATTCAGTCCGACTGCCTTGAAGCTGACAAGCCCTGTTGCAGCCATGAAATGCAGTAAGGCACACAAGGGCAACTGTGAGCACAGTGAGCTTTGCATCACAATAATCAAACATAAAACCAAAACACATGTGACCAAATAAAGTGCAAATAGCAACACAATTCACAAGGCATATCATCGCCCTGAACGTGCACTGCCTGGCCAGTTCAAAAACACAAGAGTACAGCAGAAGTACACAACAAACTTCATCGTCACCCAAACATACTTGCAGCTGCAACGGCTCATTTAAAGAGTGTCAGTACACCCTTTCACGCCCTGAATCCATTGAAAGGCAACATGCTCTCAAGTCACACATAGTATGCTGACAAACTTGTTCAGACCCCAAAGAATGACCTCTGTGCAGGCTTGCGTACTGACTGTTTTTCACTTGCTTCCAGCACTCCAAGACTTCCTGGGCAAGTGCAGCCAGCAGCCTGGCACTTTTCACTTGCAACTCATCCCCCTCCGCTCCCGGCAACCCTCCGCTCCACTGAGCACAGCAGGCCACCAACCTCAGCTTCTGGATGAGCTCTAACTTTCCAAGTGGGTCCATCCCCTTGACAAGCACCTCAGTTAGGCACTCCACTGCTGCCTCCTGGAGGTCAGAGTTCGTGGAGCTCAGCAGACTGTAAAGGAGGTGTATGAATCTGTTGCAGAAATCAGCCAGTGCAAGCACTCAGAAGGGCTGCCACTTGGCGTGTCAACAATGACAGGGTCCAGGAATTAGACGGCCCAATATTGCAAGACAGGTAAGCCCATCACCAATTCTTGAAAATGACTAGTTGAGCGCAGGGATGTCAGTTTGTTTTGAAGGATCTACAAGGAAGCAGAGCAGGCTCAGCTGTAAGTTGCACGTGGCAACACCAGTGGTGCAATCTGTAGAAAACACCAGAAATAGGCAAACCACACAACACACTCCACTTTCCAGTGCAACGCATCACAATGGTCTTTTGATAAAGGTGCAGTCTGTGACCATGGCCAGAGACTGTGCAGAAGCTGATGGAAGGGCTAGGACCCCCGAGCCATGCATGCAATAGCAAGAACATGATTCACACAGCAGCTGACCGGTGCTAGCCAAAAACCGAAGGCCCTGCCCACCTGTCATTGGCCACTAGACCTATGTCTATCCAGCCGATGTACCGCTGCACAGTCTTCAGCACCATGCCTGCTGTGTCTGGATCCTCCAAGGAGTATGTTGATGCCAGCTGGTACCACGCTTCGGCGATGTCACCAATGCAGTGGTCCCGCATGGCATCCTTCAGCTGCATGCTCATCCGGTTGCCCTCTGATGACCTACGGCAGAAGGAAAACATGCGATTGAGACCCCAAGAGCAAGTCCCCAGTGCTCATATTGCCACATCGTGGCCGCCCCCTTCCACCTCCTTGACCACAAGCTGGGAAGGCCACAAGCTGGAAAAGATCGACAACAGGGTGAAGGGAGCCCCTCAGTGGTGGTGTTGGGTGGGGTATGCGGTATGAGTGGCGCCAGCGCACCGCACCTGGGAATCTCCAGAGTGATGACGTCGCTGTCGATGGCGAGCATAATTCTGCAGAAGATGTCCACAGCAGAGCGTCCCCTCTGAGCCGCGCTGATGAGGTCGCTGAAGCAGGACGGCCATCCGTCCGGGTACTCCAGCTGGACCACAAAAAGCAAAGAAAATGGAGGTCAGTGGGGAGGCGGCCGGTGCGTGGACGAGGAGCTGGGAGGCAGAAGCCGGGGCCCGGCTGTTTCCTTACCCTGATCACGGCCGCTGTGAGCTGCGACAGCTTGTTCCGCAGGAAGGCTGGCTGCTGCGATATGTCGCTGCTCTGGACCCACCCCATGATGGAGGACTTGATCTGTGAAATCATGGGAATGCGCAGCCGCAGCGGGACGTCGTCAGCGCACCAAACACTCAAAGGCGCGACTAAAGCCGGAGAGTCATCGGTTCCGGGGCTCTGCCGCAAGCCACAAGGTGCCGACAGGCGGCGGTGCTGGAACCAAGGGTGGACATGCGCTGTGGAGAACAGCTCGAGACGAAGATTCATCCCAAGCTACTGCCATGTGGAAGGGAGCAGCAACTTACCACGTTCCGGTCATCCGTCGCCAGGATCCCAAATTGCGAATCCACGAACTGCGCAGAAACGAGCGTGTTCGCAATGTCAGCCTCTCGCTGCCTTTCGAGAGATCAGCGGAGCACCAGAATCTTCGGCGGCAGGGAAGGCCTACCTCCTGGAGTGCCTGCAGGCACCAAAACTTGACTTCCAGGAAGCCCGACGATCGGAAGCGCTCCAGGAATAGTCTCCATGAGCCCTGTTGTATCTTCACATTGTTGCAGAACGCGACCGCTTGCTCCTGTGGGACACGGACAGCGCGCGGCTTTCAGCACAATCCCATTAACTGGCAGCCGAAAGGGATGCCGCGACCGTGCCGCTGCCGAATCGGCGGCCTTCGGTCGCCCACCTTCAGGCCGCGCTCCACAGCCCCTGTCTGGTCGAAACTCAGCAGCACTGCCTTTTCGAAATCGTCCGCCATCCGCCATCGGCTGGCAGGCGCAACGCAGTGAACGAAAGCAGGTGCCGCCAGAGGATGGCGGTGCTTAAGGTTGGTGCTTGAGCGCTGGCGGCGGGCTGGACCCGGCTGGGCCGGGCAAAAGACGGCAGCTGGCCGGAACCCATGCATTAAAACCGCCGCCGTAGGTCCTAACAACCTGCGCAAAGAGGACCTAGTCTGGCGCTTTTGGTGAGGGCATTCCGCCGAATTCCGGGTGAGAGGATTAAATAATGTTGGTCATCGCTGTTGACTGTGCCGCTGCGGTGGCGGAACTCAGAAGGCAAAACCAGCACAAATTGAACAGACTGCTGTGCGCGGAAAAGAACAGTTGCTGGATTGGAAAACGCCCACGGCTATGGACAATCGTCACCATCATTTGTTGCACAACAAGGCACTGAGGCAGCCGTCAGGCTATGGACAATCCTAGAAGCCCGGAATGGAATGCGCTGAGTTCTGTTCCATTTGGCTCATTGTCCCGTTCGCCACTTTTGCAGGCCAACAAGGCTTTAAGTCTTGTTGGCTCTGATGGAGCTTCCGTTTGTGGAGGGCCACTTTGGGGGGAGCGCTGAATGAAGTTGAAGGAAATTAATCATGCACTAATTTCTCGTCCCAGCCCATTTGCACAGTCAGCTCCACCAGCCGCCCGCGCCGGCACACGGGCACCGGGCCACCGGCGGGGTTCATATTCTTCCCACTTCCAGGCAGCCCTGCATGTTGGAGGACTCCGAGAGCACCCGCGCCGCGCACCAGTTCCCAAGGCGGCGTTGACGCTCGGCGGTGTGCCACCTCGCTCGTGGACGATTCCCGCTCGCGGCTTGGCCACCGGACCCGCGCACTCGACGACAATGGCGGCCGAGGCGATGGACATCGACGTGAAGATGAACATGTCCCTGGAGGACATAATCGCGAGCAAGGGCAAGGCGGGCAAGGCCGCCGCGCCGGCGAGGTCGAGGAAGGCAGGCGCCAGGAAGGCGGCGGCGGCGGGCGGCGGGAAACTCAACCGGGCCCGCGGCGCCGGCGTGAAGAAGCCGCAGGTACAACGGGCGGGATGCGGCGAGCCGGGTCGTTGGCGGAGCCACGCCCGTGCTGCCTCGGATGCCCTGGGTGTGGCGCGGTAGCGACGCTGGGGATGCCGGGAGTGGGCCGAGACATTGGAAGGCGATCTTGCTGGAGGCGGGAGGGGGCCGAGAGAGCGGGGAGCGGGTCGCTCGTGCTTGAGGCCGGCGTCCGTCCGTCTGCGCGGTGCTTGTTGGGCGCGGGGACCGGGACGCGGGTTGCATGGCGCGGGCAGCGGGGGGAAGGGCTAGTCACGTGTCGAGACGTCAAAAGTTCGCAGTCCCTGGCGCCTGTGTTCGGGCCGGAGTTTCGCCGAAGCCGCGGGGTGGGAGGAGGCCGGCTGGAAGGATGGCTTCCCACAAGCGTCCCCGCCCCTTCGGTGTTGTCATCGGCGCCCTGCGCGGGCGCTTCGAGGCTTGGTCCCCGGCGGAAGGCCGGCGGGCTGCCTCCCCGAGCCTCATCCGGTAGTTGCATAAAGGGTGCTTTGTTGGTGGGCGTCCCGAGCACTTTGGGGCTGGCGTTTTAGTGGGAGTGTGGACGGCGTGACGGGCGTCCCCTCGCACTGTGGGAAGGGGGGTGGTGGAAGTGGTGCTGCGCGGCTTTGTTGTGTCACCCCTGGTGCCGAAGTCCTGCAGCCCAAAGCTGCCTCGTCGAGGTTCTGGTTCAACGCCAGCGGGTTAGAGCTCCTGCATCACTGCCGTTGCCGCGGCAGTGCGGCCAGCCGCCGGCGCCCAACCCCTGGGCCCATTCAAACCTGAGGTCTCGCCAAGCAACACACGCGCACGCCAGCCACTTTTCAGGGGCCTGAAATCAAGGTGTTCAACTCAGGGTGCCCGTGTCTCCACTGGCAACAATCAACGAGCCTTCCGCCCTCTGGCTGTGAAGACCCAGGGACTGAAGAGGTGAGGGCGCGAGGGGAAACGAACGGCCCTGTGGTGGGATGTGTTTGTGGAGGTCCAAGGTTGGCCTGGTGTGCCAGTCCTGTTGATGGTGGTTGACCTGCACTGAGGAGGGGGTCGATCTGCCAGTGGTTGCTGCAGAAGATGGCAACATCAGACCCATGTGGTTAAGAGGCTGTTGCCAGATTTGCCCTTCCTGGACTGTAAACTGGGAGTCTTGTTAATCGCAAGGGGAGTCGGTGGATTTGGAGTGCCTTGGGATATGGCGAGGGTGGACATGACGACTGCCATCTGCTGCTTCATCAGGGGGGCGACGATGGCAGGAAGTCGGAGGTTCCAGGCGAAGGGCAAGAGGGTGTATGTTGGAGACCACAAGAAGAGCGGCGGCAGCTACGTTCTGGTCAAAAAGCTTCCAGCCCGGCAGCAGGTAGGAGCTGCCAGTGTTGGGTGGCTTGTGCTGTCCAGTTGGTACCCTTTCAATGCCTGGTGTTGCTCATATTCTCATATTCTGCTTATCATTTTTTGGGGCTAGGTGCCTGTTCTGTTGCATTCTGCTTGTTGTCTGAAGTCTGCTGCCCATGGTATGTTTCTCAGTTTGTTGTCCACAGTGTTGTCTTCTGTGCTTTGACTTCTACTGCGTGCTGCAGTTCACTGGTGGAGCACAAGCACAGCATGTGCAGCCCGTGTACCAGCAACAGCCACCGCAGCACTACCAACCTGGCTACCGGCCTTACAAGGGACATCCAGCTGGGCAGCAGGTAACCTCTGCGTCAAGGGTAGGAACGATTGAATTCTGTCACACTTTCCAGAAAAGTGTGCTGCTTGTGTGCAGTGATGGTTGTCTTAGTTTGTGATCATTGGGAAAGGGGTGTGCAATGTAAGTTTGTCCTGTACCTACCTTGCAGTGAGTGAAGTTTTGGCTGTGTTGCTCGCAGTTCCAGCAGAGATCCTACCGTGAGGCTGGACTGTACCAACCACCTGCAATCAGGTCTGCTTTGCAGTGCTGTTTTGGGGCTTGGTGGCAGTGCGCTTTGTTGCACTGTTGTTCTTGGTTTTTCCTGGGCTGTGGCTCGCATCAGACGTTGCTGCAAATGCACTAGATGGCTCTTATGTTATGAGAAATTTGTTCCTACGTTGCTTGGCCCGCAGCCTTGTTCTTGTCCTTTGTTTTGCTGACAATGAACGTCTATTGTTCTGATGCTGTCTGTGCACCAGCAGAGTGGATTTCGGCCTCGGTGCACTGTTGCCTTAACAACAGGTTGTGCTAAAAATGTCCTTGGTTTGCATCCTGCTGGCTGAAAGTTGGGGAACTGTCTTTCACAGATCGCAGCCGTCACGTCCATATCGTCGCTCTCAAGCACAGCAGCAGCGACCAGAATCTTTTGGTTGGGGAAACTCTAATCCGAAGGTGGGCACCCAGACCGCATGTCTTTTGTCACTTGTGTTACTCGTTGCATTGAGCCTTGCAGCTTGGGTGGTGTTTAGTGAGGAATGTTGTTCCTGTAAACAACTATTGGAAGGCTCATCAAGTCGAAACCTTATTGGTAGCGGAAGCTGCGACAGTTGCTCATGATTGGCTGATGGTCCCAATAAAAGAGTGTGTTGTGTTGTTGTGATCCATGTGTGTCCATTTGCACAGGGAAGGGGATATGGTGGACAAAGAGGATCGTCAAACTACAACCAGCACTTTCTGTGGCGCTGATGTGGGACTTCTGGTGTGTTTGTTAATGATATGCTGTCGGGCCAAAAGCATTTGTACCAGCAGGAACTGTGGCCAAAAGAGTGTGACTGTTGCCAGTCTTTGGGGTGAGTGGGCACTTGCTGTGAGCAGTGCAAGTCAATTCTGTCATGCCTGCGAAGGGATGAGGCTGAATGGAGTGCGCTCGATTTGGGGCAGACGGGAAGGCTTCTGTGTTGTTGGCGCTGGGCCATGCACAAAGAAAGGGAAAGTTCCTGGGTTCTTAAGGGTTGCTAGAGCTGGGGGCGGTTTGCTAGAGCTGGGGGGCTGCAAGGTTTGATTCAGGACCCCAGTGATGACTGGGGGCACTTCAGCAGCCACAGTCGTTGGCCACACACCCAAGGTGATCTGCAGTCTGACAATGCCAGATGGCAATTGAGGATCTGTGCCTTGTGTCTCCTTGCTGCAGCCATTTGTAAGTCTGGAGGAATTGGGGTGATGTGAGTGAATGCAGCGAAGTGATGAAAGAAATGCCACCTGGACAGGTGCAGTGAGTCATCTCCAACCTGTCCATGGTGGGGGAAGCCAGTGACAAGACTGATTGCCAGATGTTTCACAGAACTCATAATGGCACAGTTTCCACAAGATGCAGCAAAGGAGGTCCTGGAGAAGATAAGACTCAACAAGTCGATGTTGTGGAGTTGCTCTGTGAAGTGACTCGTTCTCCTTTCGTGTGTTGCTGGAACCATTCACGAGCTGCGAACTGGAATACTGCAGATCAACGAGTGAGCCAGTTTGTGACCAAGAGCCTGTACCCATGAGGCCTTGTTCAGTCTATGCACACAGCGCCTGGTTTCAACAGCCATATGGGAGTTCAAGGACACTTGTTCCATGTCCCCAGTGTCTGCCCAGTGGAGACAGATGGCAAAAGCAGGAAGACCGTCCCTGTCCTGTCAACAACTGGCATGGGTGACAGGCGCAGCATGTGCATGGTTCAGCGCAAGATTCAGGATTCAAGATTTGGAAGAAGGGTCCAGCTCCTGTTGCAGTGCCTCGGGCAACTGGCAGCTGTTGTTGGGTGTATGGATGTTTTCTCGGATGTTGCCCTTCCAGCCCACCGATCAACAGGAATGGACAACAAGACACATGGGTGGCTGTAAGTGGGTGCAGCACCACATACATACATATCTTTGGGTGTGCTACTTCTGGCAGGAATCCGGTCTTCGCCCCATGTGCACTTTCTGACTCAGCCCCATTGCTGTGGAAGGCCTGGCTTGTGATTCAAATCCCCTAAGTGAAGCAGCATACCACCAGTTGCTGCCTACCTGTTTTACAGATGACCAAAGCCATAGTGAATGGTATTGGTGCCAGCTCAACTCTGTCACCACCTGTGGCAATTTCGCAGCTCTTTGGCGCTCTATGCCACCTTGATCATATGTATGCTGCTTTCGTGTGTGGATCAGCCTGCATACCATAGGTTATTCGACCCTTCTACATTGGTCCATCCCGACCGTTACGTTTTTGCTCCACATTTTCGTCCAGGACTGTTACGTTATCTTCTTTTTTGCTCTGCATCGTGTCGCGCGGGCTCCGAGGGGGCTCTAGAGGCTGTATCCCAAGTTTCAGGTGCAACGGACCAGTCCCAAGCCTCGTAGGTGCGTGCATCGTGCGACACCAACCACCCAGCTCTAGGGATCGACCACACCCCCCGCAAAGCTGGTCCGGAAGCCGAGTCCCTTGGCGCAAACTTGTGCCCGCTGAACAACCTCCCCGGCCCCCCCTTGCCTCATCCACCCAGCTCATCCCGCTCCCTGTGCTCCTGGCCCCGGGCGGCTCCCAAGGTGCCCCCCCCCCCCACTGGCCGTTGATCAACATGCGTGCGCCCACCAACCGCCCCACTCCTTGCCCTTGCCATTCCGCGTTGGCACCTCCGGCATCAGCGCCCACGCTCCCCTGCAATCGCTTCCCAACGTTGGAACCCCGACCCGCCTGGATGGCAAGCGGGAGACGCTTGCCTTCCAGCCAATTGATCGCCCACACTCCCCTGCGAACACTTCCCAAGGTTCGAGGCCCAAGCCGCCCGGACGGCAAGTGGTGGGCACCTACCTGCCTGCCGATCGTTTGCCCACGATCCCCTGCGATCGCTTCCCAAGGTTCGAGGCCCAAGCCGCCCGGACGGCAAGTGGTGGGCACCTACCTGCCTGCCGATCGATCCCTCAGTGGCCTGCCAGGTGCCCCGGCCAAGTCCGTCCTGAAGCCATGGCCCGAGCGTTACTAAATTCAGCTGTTCCGCTTTTCCCTCTGGCACCGTTACTTTTTTATTCATCAACTCCGCGAAAAAGGGCCCAACGTTACGTTACTATACGGAAAGGTTTAAAACACTACGGTACATGATCACACTCTCGTCACTTGTCATGGGGGTGTTATTCAGTAGGGAGCTATTGTGCAATTCAACATTGACATCAACAGTGTTTGAAGATAAGATGGTCGCATTTATCAAGTCTTCTTCTTTTGTACTGACATTGTTGTTGTTGATTCAATAAGTTGCAATGGCAAAGTCCACGCTATAAAGTGATTTGATGCTTTGCATTCTCGTGGCTTGCCAAGAGAAGAGTTGTGTTGCTCGATTATAAGATCTGGTCTATTGTCAAATTCTTGCAAATGGTACGTTGGAGCAAGTGATGATACAAAGGTTGTGGGCTAGTGTTTTGGGGGGGGGGGGGGGAGAGCACGAATGTAAGAGGTGTGCGTTGATTGTGACGTGGCTGCTTGGGGTTAGGCTTAATTGACATTTTCTAGAGCTGTGATTAGTAATCTTTGCAAACAACCCTCTGGTGGGCTTATTTAAGAGCTCCTAATGCATCTAGGGTTTTGAAATGCCCAAATCCATTAAGAATTGGCGAAACTATAACTGTGCAAAATTGTTGTACTTAGGGCTGCAAACGAAAGAGGGCTAGTACTTGAGTCAATGGAGAAACGGGTCGGACATGGACGAACGGGGGTCGGTGACAATGTGCTTGGATGCACACTTGAGTTGTCTTGCCTAAATGTGACAGCGATAGACCCATGATTGGGCATCACGCATGCGATATGTGCACGCGCATGCATTCAATCCGTGTAACTTTATTTAGCCCAATCTCTGGCCTCCCGTGAGCCAGCAAACCACCGCCATGCCGTGCCGTCACCTCTCACTGACAACAAGCCTCGGGGATCGATGCCCATCGAGCATTGGGCCCACCAAGCGACCGCCGAATTGACTATCCTGGATACGCCCACCATCCAAGGTGGAGAGGTTGGCTGACCTCCAACAGCCGAGTTGCAAAGCAGGGCGACCCCAATGCTCCCGGAAACTAGCGGCTGCCGATGGACTGCAATATTGACACTGTCAAAAAAGTTTGCAATATTCACCCATGTTTTTTCTACTTGGTGCCAAGATCATGGCCACACCATGGTCATACCTCTCCAGAGGCCCTTTGGTGGAAGGCAGTAGTAAAGAATCGACTTGAATCAATCGAATGGGGTCGAGTCCAAGTGACGAAATGGCCAGAAACGCACGTGCCAAATGTCTCATGTTAGTCGCACACATTGCTTAAGTCCTTCCCTCAAAAGGGATACTCACTTGGCCTCGCAAGTCCTCTCCTCAGTCGTTGAGGAGGCCTAGCTAGCTGTAATGGCGGCAATCAGAACGAGTTACAAACCGAGGGCGGCCTGCATCACCAGCTCGCCAGATTACATACAAGTTCATGTTCGTTTCCAGCCACACATCCTGCAAAATATACTATGGAATATTCCCTCTTGTTATGCACATCACAATTTTCAGCACTCGAAGTCCCATCACCGCACTACTCTTATGGGCTGCCCAAATCCAACCAAATCTTCCACCTATTGTCCAATGAGCCTGCCTACTCCATAGTGGACATACTGGACACTGATTTGCATTAGATTCTTCTTTGTGAAGTTTAGTTGAGCCCTAGCGCTATCACATTGCCCCCACTAACTTGGAAGATACTGAATCCATACCACACAAGGCACTATAGCCATGGCAGTGCAACCATCGAAGATCTGGTAGGACAGGCATAGATTTCGTGCGCATCTCATCATAAGCTAACCTATTTTCAAGGTTACGGCCGACAGCAATCTCCACTATTCCTAAAATACATTGACCATTGTTTCTTTCTATACCATCTGTCCCTTCAGTCCAAACCCCCCTCAAAACCCCATTGGAAACAACGGTTGTTTCTTAGGGTCCACTTATTTTGCTCTTTTCAGGAACTAAATTCCTCAAAACTTATCAAAAAAACATAAATTTTGTACCATTCAATTGTAAATTGAGTTTGCAATTGAAATACAGAATCAGATCCCTAAAAAGTTATTATTTTGCCTGACTCTAGTCAAGCACCCATGTGCCAAGCTGCACACAATAGCCTAGCATACAAGGCGACATGGCAGCGCTTGATCCTTGCCCGATGCGCACATGTATTGCAAATCAACCGGGGCACCCTGCTGACTCAGCGGTCGGTGGTACAAGCGCCACCCCACCACGTCACTCTTTGCACTCACGCCCCTTGAACCCCCTCCAGCCCGCCGTCGGGTCAGCACGTTTCCTTACGGCAGGCTTCGTGAGCAAACCCCCCAGTAGGACTGGGCGCAAGGCCCTTCTCCGTAGAATGGCCCGCTCACTTTTTCCAGAAAGATCCTCCCCGTTTCGGAAACACATCCGGGCCACCCCGTCCGTGGCTCCCGCATCCACCTTTGGGGGGTGCTCTCCCTCGAGCACCCCTCCGTAAGTGTGCTGCCCAGGTAGAAAGGGAACTCTGCCCCCTGCCTCCTGATCCCCCCGGCCACCTTCGAACAATCCTTTTGAAATTGTCTTCGCCCGCCATGTGGCTGCGACCCCCTCCGCAGAGTCCCATAGGTTCTCATGGGCTGTACTGCCCGATCAATAGGCATTACTCCAGTTTTCCAACAAAGGGCCCATCGGCAGGCGCCCGTGGTCAATTCGGGTCGGTCGCTTGGCGTGCGCGCGGCGTCTCGGCCAGTCGCTGGGTATGCGGGTGGCTGGCGTCGGGTGTGGGCCTCACAGGCCATAGTGCTTTCTGGGTGCTTCCCACGCAGTGGGCGAATATCTGGGCGGGATTACGTGGTAGTTGTCTGCGTCTTGGCGTACATCCGGGCCCTGACGGCCCCTATGGGTTCCCTGTGGCCTCATGGCAAGTTGCTTGAGGGGTACCCTTCCGGTCAGTTTGCAAAATGTCGACCGAGGCCACACCGGCCTGGAATCCTGGGCCTCACGGGGCACCAGCTTGGTAGTATTCGCATAATACTTCATGTGGCATGGCAGCCATCTATTCATATAGATTGGCTCCATTTATTGGTGCCCCGAACAATATCGGTACGACATTTCACTGTTTTTCAATGAATAAAAGGCAGTCGTTGTCCTCGATGTAATGTGTACGTGAAAGTTCGACGCTGTTGGGAAAGGTGAATTGTGTTGGGCCAACACTGTTGGCCATGGACAAGCTGTGCCACTATTGATGCACATTCACGGCATACATCTGAAAACGAGCAACTGTGGTTTATCATTTCGCCTGAGCAAGAAGGTCAACAGCGAGTCGGCAGGACCTGTGAATATGCTGCAGCGTATGTGCATCCGCCAGAGTACAGTTCACCTTGAAATCTACTCGCTGACGCTAGATCTGTGGTTTTGAAAATGCACCAAGAATAACCCAGCAGCACATCCCTGAGTGATCGCAAAATCCGCTGTGTCACGCTGGCCCCCGAAACAACAGTGCTGCCTGTTCCGACTTTCCCATTCAATGACAGTCACCACACGGAGGGGGCGATTTGCCTCAATGATGTGCATCAATCGCCGATCTGTGCTGTGGCATCCGCCGTGAACCCAGCTCCAAGCTCGATGTACGTTCTCGTGACTCCTTCCGTACTGCTGAACCCTGTCCGGGCTCCTGCCTCGGCGGTATATCCGGCTTCCACATTTGCACCATCAGGGTCTCCGGCTTCAACACTCACATCGCGTTCAACCTTTGCGATGAGGGCGATTTCGTTGTCGTCCAGATCAGAGCCGTCAAAGCCAAGCTTGACCTCGCCCTGCCATGGAAGCCAAGAGCACACGAGTTTCAATCTCCAAACAAGCTGATGGATA